CTTTGGAGGAGAAAAAAACAAAACATAAAATCTGCCGGTGTCCCAGTTCCAGGAAAGCCCCGCCTACCTTTCTTGTCATGACTCCAAACTGGACTCTGCACCGGTGGCACTCCTCAGCATCGACCCAATCAGGGGCCTGCAACCGAAGCAGACGGATGTTACGTATCAATGCAGGTGTGTAAAATCACCTTTTTCTCTAAATAGCCCCGGTGCCAATGACCAGCACCAATTCCACTGACAGATATTGCTGATGCTACGTCAGCGAAAGAGGAAAATCAAAATGTCTCACTCTCTCGGCTGCAAACATGGCATCGCTCTCCTTGAACTCGGGGAACTCATGACCTGCGAGCAAAGAGAATGAGAACCGTTTAACATAAAAGGATGATACTATGGGCACGTTACAAGGACTTAATGAAGGAAAAATGTAATGTCCAAGCCTCATTTCTTACACGTGCAACATAAGTAACAATATACAGTTTCTGACAATAATTGTTGTGTAATGCAATGTATCATATTGTGGAATATTGCTTGAGTTTTTAGTTCTGTATTAAGCCATGTTTGTACATGACGAATGTCACCCGAGGACGTCATGACATTTAGTAATTCACTGACATTAACTCCACAGCGTTATATCAAACCTACGCATAACATTTTCTGATATCGAAAACATGTAGTCTTTATGATATTTATATAGAAATGTTTAAATATTATTCCAATTGTTGTTTATATAGCTCACACAAAGACCTCTTGTTGTGTAGGGATGAGCCTCATGGATTTGCATTGCTGGAATTGTAAGCAGATACAAAGCCAAATTTAAAATGCAGCGCATGTCCACCCACCTTCCACTTTCATGATCTGATACGTGTCTTGGACCACCTTGTATTTGGGTTCGTTGCGGAAGGCGTGAGCCCAGGCCTGGATCAGGTACAGGATTTTGTTTCGGACATTTGGTTCCGTCTGTTGCAAAAGAACCACACAGTGAAGCAAAAAGACTTGACGGTCCCTCTTGTGTTTGTAAAGAGTTATATATAGTTTTGTAAAATAACATTTGGTAAAAGTGAGCTTCTCCAGCACACACTGAATCAAACAACATTGTGATTCGTTACAAAAGCAGAGGTGGGAAGTCCCTTGTTCTTGTCTGAACAGAACCTCTTGTCACAAGGCAGTGACATCATCAGGAAGTGGAAACCACTATGGGCTGCAGGAGCTCACGTCACATGACGCAGCAAAGATCTAATTAACTATTGCTTGCTCACACAATTACGCAGCCAGTTGCCTGACGTGTGGAAAGGCTTCGAGCCAAAATATATTTGGACAAAACACCCCGTCCGTGCAACAAAACCCAGTAGCCAAACCTCCCACTGCTTGTTTACATAATATATCACTGCACAGATATTACATCAGGGTAAAAGAAAAAGAAGTTAAAAGTATATTTAAAACTATTTACACATATGCAATATAATAAAGAAATAAACACAGTAAGGGTGACCTTGAGTAAATCCTTCAGTTCCTCCATGGTTTGCTTACTCGCCACCTCATCGTGGACAGTCTGGCCACAGTTCTTCACCACCGACTCCAGGACCTGAAGGACAAGGTGTCATAACCACTCAGTACACAAACTACACACACATTTCAACACGGCAGCTTTCTTCGAAATGCAGCGAATCACATCCGACAAAAGAGCACAGCAACTCTCAACAATTTCCACTGCACACTCCTCACCTCAAGAGCATAGAGGGCCACGTGGGGATTTTTGTCATTCAGCTTCTTCTTAATGGCCCCGATAGCATACTTAGCTCTGCAATGACAAACACAAGTAATGCTCAGTAGCAACTCAAGACAATAACCCCCCCCCCAGTTCACTGCTGATGTTGTGATGAGCGTGAGGAGGGGAAACGGGCGGAATCACTCACTGTGCGTCTCCTTGTCGAATGAGATCACAGATCTGCAAGATGGATTCCCAATCGGTCTCCAGCAGCAGCTGACTGGTGGCTTTGTCTGCAATTAGCAGAGATGGTTAAGTCTTTATAACACATGTATTATCATTAGTCTTATTATAAATATTGTCATCATTGTGATATTGTATTATAAGGTTGTTTCACGGAAAATGTGTTTGTTGAAATCTCTGTCTATTTATTATTAACGTCCATATCTACACGCTTAAGTACACAATGTGAGTCACGTGTCCATATACAACAGAGCTGGACTAAATAAGGTATAATATCCATGTTTGTAAAGAGGTGATCATATAAACATAAATGTACTGAAAGGTTTTTCAGGCTTCTTTTACTTTAACGCTATGGTACAGTAATGTTTTCTAACGACAAATTAACTCCATCTAATGTCTTTATACGAGAGAAAATTATATGAGAAAAGATATTGTCCGTTTTTCTTAATTGTAATTTTCTATAAATGTTGTCTTTGTTTACATATACCTTACAATTAACACGCTACATGTTGGGATATTTTCACAAAGAATGGCAGGGGCCTGAGATTTTTTGACATTTGTTTTTTGGTATTAGTTCTACCAATTAGATATTGGGGGGAGAAAAAGTCGATCGAGTTCTTACATGGTGGATCTTTATAAATACCTGTGTTTCAAATGAACACTAATCATTTTTACGGTGGCCGAGCCACTCATCGATAACAAGGGAAACCAAAAAGGAAGGTGTGTTGAATTGTGTCTGCTAGTTCATACTGTAACATCAAAGTTGTGACTGTCAATTTCCCGCATGCATGACAAACGTTATTTTTCCCGGCTGAGGTTAGCGAATGCTAAGCTAATTAGCCCGCTTGCGTTACCTATGACACCTTTATTAAGTCATCATTAGGTTGTCTCACACGTCGTTTTCTCAAACAGTAGAGTAAAAAAATCGTTATTACTAAATCACCAGCTGACGTCAACACAGTATCGTACGTGTGCTAATGGACATAAAAGGAAACAATCAGCCTGCTTTGGCTTGGGCCAATAGCACGGGACACCACACGGGCGAGGTAACGTGGCTTAGATAAGACCGTGAGGACGAACAATGAAAAAAAAATACGAGTGTAATGCTTTTTTAATCGGGCAGCTGAATGTAAGTGAGCCTATCTGGGCCTCCAAACAATAGCAGCCAGAATGTTAGCAGGCTAAAACTAGCTGGCCCGGGAGCCACAGCCCTAGTGTCTGTCAAAACAACACGCCGGAAAACACCGCACTTTGAGTATCGGCCGGCTGATAAACTACCGACTTGACGAAGGCGCTCGCAACTTACCCAGGAGCCGCTCAAATGTACCTCCGCCTTTCCCCATCTTAGATTAAAAGTGTCAGAGCGGCTGTCGAGGCGTCTTGTTTTAGTCAACGGGGTCCCGGATACGGTCGCCGCTGAGGCTAGCCTGTTAGCTCCTCCGTTAGCCACGTAGCACAGCTGTACGGCGCTTCCGGCTCCCCACTTCCGCCCCAGAGACCACAACGTGGAGCTTTTTTCCCCCTCTAGCGACGGCCAGCTGCAAAGCCACCAGGCGGTTAACCACGAGTTAAGTGTTTTTGTTATGTAATTACACAGCTATAAAAATAATAGGCAGGGCCAAGGACACCGAAGCAGGATAGATAAAGGTAAAGATTGAACATGACTGTTATCGTTATAATACGTTCTACTTTGCAGTAGAAGAATACAGTTGTTAAGAAGGGTATTATTACTTTATTTTAGTAGTAAGTTAGTAAATATAGCAATTACATATAAAAAAAACAGATTTTAAATCTGTGCTCACATTTAATATGATGAATGGTTGAAGAGAAAATGAATCTATCCAACATTATATTAAGTAGACTTTGAAAATTGACAGTAACCTCTGAAAATCTTGTTTTTCTTGACCTCCGGGGACGCAGTGATGCATGGGTTTACACCAGCCCCCTGCCCCGTCACCGATGGGAATGATTACAGGTGCATAAAGCGCACTCATCGCTGTCCTTACCTCATCAGTGTTCCTCGGGGTGAAACATACTTCAACTTTCAACAATAGAGGCCAGCCAGGCACTGCTTTCTTGCCAGATGTTTAAGATTCTCCTTAATACGCTGTGTTTTACAAACATAGTGCCCTTGTCTTACGCTACGTTTTCCATGTCGTAGTGTTAAATAGCACAGTCGGCCGTACTGTATTCACAGCATTATTCTCCCAGCATTGGTTTAGGCCTTCTTAGGTCATGTATGAGTCACTACCTGGCACTTGGAACACTGGTGCCCATTGTTTATGTGGTGCTGTAATGCTCTATAAAGTGGCATTGTGTTGCTCTCTCCTCTTCTGATAAGGACGGTTTACAGCAAAAATAAAGCCAACACCAGGGTGAACCTTCTATGGCGTTAATCTAGTTTAAAAGCATGTAGCCGAGAAAAGGACATTTCTGCATGCATAGAGTCAGCAGGTACATTAGCCAAAGTGCAATGGTCTGTAATAGTTTTAAATCACTTCAATTGGTTTTGAAACTCGCTGCAGATGATCATGTACTTCAATAGACACACACAAGTTACATACCAGCACATCCTGTATTGATCTGTTTGTTTGTCAAAATTGTATACATTTGTAAATCCAAGAATGTTGATGGGGCGGCTTCCATTGTGATTTCACAAGGAGGTACTTTAAGATACTTTATGTTAAGGTGCTCTGGTTTGCTGTACTTGTCAATAACTGATGGAATCCCAGGATTTTGATGTCATGAAAGGGAGAAGAGGGTTTTGTTTTTTTGTCCCTGGTACAAGGAACAGGAGAGGGAAGATAGAAAATGGAGGACCACGCACACACGCACACCGACACACACACTTCTCAACAATATGGCACCACTAGCATCTGTACACACAGACCCATTGTTCTATTGTTCTACCCCACTCCGTAACCACATAGTAGCGTTTTCCATAAAGGAGCAAAACAAAGATATCTTTTTTTATTAAAACTACTACAATACTTCTTTTAATCACATATAGTTGTGAAGTTTAAAAAATGTGAACACACACCATTTTCCTCAGTAGAGAATTTTGAGAACCAAAACCTTTATTGTGTTTAACACCGACAGACAGATAACAAGGTTATTGAAGAATATCAGGTATGAAATAATAAAATAAGTTCATTTTTTGCTAAACAGCCTCTCAGAGAAAAAAATGAACTGGAATGACATTAAATATAAAATAATTACAGGGAGCAAGATGGAGAGGAGAGGAATCGGGTCTGTCTTCATCTGGGATACGTTTGTGGGACTGGAAGGCATTTGGACATTTTGGAAACTTAAACATAACCTTTGACTTGTGAGGCGGGTGCCCTGCGAGGACTACTTTCTCCACTGCTGAAGGTGGGAGAGCCCGGCATGCCCGGGGGACTTGACCCCGCATAGAGCAGAGATCCACCAATGAGGAGCAAGGCGGATGCACCCCAGCCAATGTAAAGGGCAGGGCCGAGCTCGCGCTTGTGTGGAGCCGCCACATGTGGATCGTAGAAATCCCTGATGATGGAGTGGGCAGTCCAGCAGACGGGTACGAGGTACAGGAAGCCCGCGATGGCAAAAAGGCCGCCGGAAATGCGAGCAACGCGGGCCTTGACGCTGTTTACACCGATGCACTTAGTGCACTTGACTCCCAGGACCCCCAGAGCTAGGGCCAGGCCACACATCAGGATGGAGAACACGGTGAGGCCTCGGGCCGCCTGCATGTCACTGGGCAGAGCCAGCAAGCTGTCGTACACCTTACACTGGATTTGACCCGTGCTCTGCACAATGCAATTCATCCAAAGGCCTTCCCAAATGATCTGAGCCGTCACTATGTTGTTACCGATGAAGGCAGTGACCCGCCACAGGGGCATGGCACAGACTACCGCTCCGCCCACCCACCCCACAAGGGACATGATTAGGCCCAGCAGCTGCATGCCCGTGGTCGCCATGACGAAAGTTGAGTTGTTTCAATCAGATGGATTTGTCTTTCTTAGTGTCCCGCAAAGAGATGTGAAAGTCTAGAGTACTGCAGGTTCCTCAGTCCTCAGGTGATGATGGTGTTTACTTTCAGCTTGGGTCAGACGAGGAAAGGTATCCTGAAATTCAGTAAATAACAAAAATAATTGGAATCAGTTTTGCTAATCCATGAGACGAGTAGTGCGACCAAACTCACAGAAAAATGCTTCTAACGTCTTTTCACTTAAACCGCGAGCAGTACATTAGTACAATACGAAAAGACTAGCATCAAATATTATTATTTATCATGAATATTTGGAAACAGGCTGGGAGCCCCATGTTTAGTGGATTCCAGTGAGAAGCACAGAGAATAGTCGTCTTTGACACAGCTGTGGGTGTCGAGCTACGCCTTGCGTGGTGAGTGGATAATCTCAGAAAAACATGAGGAGACAGAACACAAGCATCTTTCATGAAGGCTTGTAGAGTGGGCCAAGGGGGACCTATGTCATCTGTTTATCTCGACTTCAGTCGGCACATTTCACCAATTCTGTGAATCAAACCCTTCCCTGCGCATCACACTGGCTTCAGGACACGGGTGGATAGGAAAGCGTCCAAAAGATAAGCCGTCCCTTTGGCTCCTTCATAGATAAAGATGTATCCAAAAGATCCCAATAGGGATGTTTTTTTAAAACCATTTGATATGAATAAAATGCAACCATCTGTTCTGTAAGTGGTCAGATAACGATGGTTCAAATTGATCCTTGAAACCAAACCTATTTTGCACAAATGTAGGAATTCCCTCAAAGGTCCACAACAACCCCATTTTAATAACCTATGTTTTACCTTTGATACAATCTTTGATTAGAATACTTTTCAGGGATTTCTTGCATACGAAGCACGACTGATCCCACCTGCATCTAAAGTACGTGTTACTGTATCAAACTGTGACACAGCTGAACACATAATACAACAGCTACAAGCAGTCTTTATATTTCATCAAACTCCTCACATTTCATTTTGACACTTGGTTGAAACTTTCAGACAGTTACCTCAAAGGCGGTTTACTGGACTCTGCTGCTCTTGGCTCCGCGGTCCAGCGTTGCTGCTCCTTTGCTGGCGTTGGATCAGTTGCGACTGGACGACCGACGGCCCCGAGGATCCACTTCAGTGCGCCGGCAGGGCTGGAGAAAAGCTGAGGCTGCGTGTCAGAGGTCAGGTGAACTGAAGAAGAGTCGGGTCGATCGGCATGCGACACCCAGCACACTGGACTGGAGACGGGGCTGCCCTTCCGAGATGCCAGCGCGAGTCTGTGTGGCGGTGGGCAGAAGCAAGCGCTTGTGTGGACGACCGTGTCAGTGTGTGAATGAGTGAATGTGTTTGAGTGTGTCTCCCAGTGCCTGGCGTACGAGCACAATGCCTCGCTGTTTTCGCTTTGCCCTCCTTCCCTGCTCCTCGTCGGCCTCTGTCCTAAACCCCGCAGCCCCTCACGTCCATCCAACCCTGAGACCCATGTTCTCTTCTTTTTGACTCACTCGTTCGTTTATGAGGGTCTTCCCTTTCAATCTGTTTATGCCTTTCATCGAAGTTCTTCAAGTGTAGGGGAGTCAGTCCTCATCCGACCTCTTGTTTGCTGTTCTGGCAGCTTTTCACACGGATTTGCAATTAAATAGATACATCTGACACACATTATTGATACTGAAAAGATATCGACAACAACTTTATTCATACCTGATGCTTATAAATATCAAAATAACAACATGAATGCTTAGATGCTGCAGAAAGTAGAAGAGATGATTAGGGGAACATTGTTTTTGCCGCCATGTAGGCGACCTGGACTGAAAAATGGATGAAGCCGGTCAGTGAAGGTATCTGCGAAGGTGTGAATGTGTACTCCAGATTCCGCGCAGTAGAAGGACACGCGGCCCTCGACGTAGTCCAGAAACACACCCACCTTCCTGGGCCTCTGCTCCACAGCCAGCGGCGTGACAGGGGAGGTGTTGGCAACGAACTGGCCTCCAGCCTTCAGGCTTAAAGTCCAGAAACCGTTTGCAGGGCAGACAGAGAACTTCCCCTTTCGGTTTATGGACTGTCTGGCAACACCCAGATTCCACTCGATCTTCTCCCCGACCTCCACCTCCCAGTAGCACCTGCCGCCGTCGAAGCTCTCCTTGGCCAGCACGTTTGCGACGCGGTTGAACCGCTTGGGGTGATCTGGCACCTCGTGGAGCTTGTCCGTATGTCTCACCTGTTTTTTGTCCTCTGAGACGGAGAGGAAGGGATGGGCTGTCTTGGCGCTCAGATTGACATCAACTGAGAAAGAGGGAGGAGAAAACGACAAGAATGGGTGAAATCATCCTTTTTTTTAATGTGTGCACAGTCCCTTGTTTTTAAGACTTACCGGCGAATTTCTCTATTCTCTTGAGTTCTGTCAAAGAATAAACAGATTTATTGAAGAATGCTCACTCAATGATTCAATACACAAGATGAACGCTGGATTACGCACCAGATTTGGAGAGTCTGTTGACTTCTACCTTTATCTTCTCCATTATGTCCTCTAGTGCTCGTCTGGTGACCCCAATACAAGGGTCAGTTTCTATGGCAACCTTGGACCAATCCTTCATGTCAGAGGGGCATGTGGTGGGAACAATGTTCTGCGTGACATGAACAAAGTTCTTCACAGATTGAAATCACCCTCCAATACCATTGCATCATCTAAAAGAGGTGAGGGTTATTACCACGGGAACTTGGTTTGTCTCATCATCTGGATCACTTTTTACAGGAATATGGGGGTCGGGTTCGGTGCTCTCCTTCCTCAGTTCCTGGATCTCCTTTTCGATCTCCTTCACCAACCTTTCCACTCTCTTCTCCTCCTCTCGCTTTCTCTCCTCAATTGCGTCAACCACAGCTTTGTGATTCTTCTCCATAGCTTGCACCAGGGTAGAGAAGACTTTCTGGCTCTCTCGGACCTCTCTGAGGTAGGAGTTCTGATGGGACGTCATCATGCATCAACATTCAACCGAGCATATTATTGTTAAACAGAAAATGTAATGACGCAACGCACCTGTTGTAGCTCCAGAGCAGATTTCATCCGTACTACCTTCTGCTGCCTCTCCTGAATCATTTGCTCAACATCTATAACCTGTAACAGCGAAATAAACATATAAACTAAATGCGTTCATTACCGCAGCATTACGATTGATTCATTGACAAACGTAAGTGAAGTACCAGTTCCTCCTCGGGTGGATTCTGGGGTCGAGTTTTCCTGTAGTTATCTGAGACTTCGGCCAGAACGCGGTTGACACTGAGGTCGGGCCTCTCGCTGAACAGTCTCCGGCAGCGGGGGCAGTATTTGGACTGGTGTCGTGACCAGTGGAGACTGAGACAGGACAGGCAGAAGCTGTGTCCACATGGTATGGTCACCGGGCTGGTGAAGATGCCTCGACAAAGGGAGCACAGGAAGTGCTTCTCGGGGAGAAGGCTAATCGTGGAGGCCATACTGTGAAAGTGACAATTTTCAGCACAGTACAAGGGAGCTTTTTAAACTTTTTGACTTTTTCCATTTGATGAATGAGTTTGCACTTGAGTGAATGTTGTGTAAATAATGGGAGTCACTTAAACAACTAAAGTGGATTCACATTTCCTAAGAAATGTTATAGTGTTGTAAAAAAAGAGCATGAATATTACAGGTTCTTAATGGAAATTGATTATTTGTACACATTTATTATATGGAATGGAATGAGATCATTTCATGTAAGGAACAGCACATAAAATGACTACCGTATGTTTGTACGTATGTTATATAAAGTAAAATTACAAAGCACTGTCAGCAGTACTTTGTGTAGTAGTTATATGTATAAATTTGACCGTTACCTAAATCTTGTTTGGATTACTACGACACCAAATAGTCCTCATTATATAATAATTGATAATACATCAGTGTATAAGTAGCATTTTCTTTTGGAAATTGAGCTATTTTAAAGTACTTCTATACAGAAGATGTCTGCATAGTTTTTAGGTTAAAAGCCCCAAAACCTTGGAAACCTCTGACTAATCCTTCACTTTGGAATGTTTTTTTTTTTAGAACAATTCCCATTCATTTCTGTTAAGTATAGTAATGTACTTTCTGCCACAGGATTTGAGAACATATTGTCCCACAGCTATCGCAAAGCTTCACACTGTAAATCTTCCGTTTCACAGATACAAAGGCAGGTCATGGTCGTGAGTGGAATGGCACTCCTCTCATCTTACGTAATGGTAAGTGAAGCACAGAGTTCGGGCCTAAAAATCTACTGAAGTAACATACGTTTCCAGTGCTAAAAGCCCCTGGCGGTCTGATTCTTTTCTATTCTTATCGTCGTCGTCTCAGACGTTTCAGTTCAAAGGTATTTCCTTGTGATCGAGGTGACATACTCACAGAGAACGGGCGCAGTTAAAATATTTGATGTAAGGTATGTGGAAGAACCGGATGCACAAGGGATTTCACCAGGGAGCTACACCACAAATCAAGACAAAGCAAGAACTATTGAAACGTTTCTTTTTGTCCGGTCTTTAATTTAAAAAAAAAACCTTGGAATGAGCAGTTCATAAACGATTCAAGGTCTGAATTGATTGACAGAAGAATTAGTTTTACAAAAGTAAAACTAAGCTCAAAATATTAATGAGCAAAGCGTGGTCTTACCTCTCCAGGTTAGTCTCGTCCAAATAACTCCGCGGTCATTCTATGCTTTCTACTCACAGTTTCAAGTACGTAGACGCTGTGAATGATTTACACTGAACAGGTGCGCTAAGGTGTGTGTGTGTGTGTGGGTGCGTTTGTGTGTCGTGGGCAGTGCTTTAGACAACCCGACTCTCAGACTCCACCCTTAATGTTATCTGAGCTACTCGTCAAATAACTCACAGCGAGACACCAGGAAGTGCGGTTGACAAAGAACAAACTCTCACATGACGTGTCGCAAACCACAACTTCATTTATTCAACTTACACATGTATGCATCCAAATGGTGATGAGATTTAGTGGCGACCTTAGTGGCAAATTGATGGTCAAGTTTCACTCTCGACCTAAAGGGAGGCATCAATTTCCACATAGTCTGGGATTAAATCAGCGTGAAAGCTTTTTAAGCTACAGTTAGATTACAAACAACCCTTGATATTACTTTTTTCTTTTCCGTTTATTACGGGGAAAAAAACATAGTCGGTACCACACTGTCATGGACGAGGAGCGGCAAAGAAGCGATTGATGAAGATTGAGTTAAAGTTGAGTCTGGCAGGAGGGGCCACTCGGTCCTCCATATGCTCTATGGCCACCTGGGCTGTTCCTCCTGCTGATCCACCTACTGCCCCGCCTATGATCCCGTAAAGAACCATCCCCCCCCGGCCCCTCAATGGAGCCGAACAGTGCCCCCATGACAGCGCCCACAACAAAGCCCGTGCCCACCCCTCTTGCCAGGGAGGTCCTGAGCCACCCGTTGTCCATCTCTGCCTTGGCTCGGATCTCGGTGCCGACGTTGGCGGTGTACGCGTCCTTCTGTTGATACAAATCCTCCGCTATGTATTTTTTCTCCATCTCGGTCCACACCTTCTCTATCTCGCCCGTCCTTTGCTTCTGGAGCCTCTTCACCTCCTTTTTCACACTGACCTCTGCCTTCTGGAAGGTTCTGCTGGAGAAGCAGACCCCTCCTAAGGAGGCCACCATCCTCTCTATCTTCTGCAGCAGCTCTCTGTTCCGGCTTTGATCTCTCCAGTTCTTGCTGAAAACATGGAAGCGTCCGCCGTACTGCTCAATCAGTTCTCTCAGGGGCCAGTCAGACTTCTGCACCCGTTCTTCCAGGGCGGCCCCCTCAAGGTTTCCCTCGTAGGCCAGGAGCACCATGCAGTACCTCAGGCAGTGTCTTCCAAAGCGTTTCTTCATTAGTTTGGTGGTTCTCATTTCATTCAGGGAGATTTTCTCCATATCAAAGGTGACAAGAAAGGCGTGCGGACCAGGTATACACAAGCACTTTGACCTCCTCAACTCCATTTTCCTCTTGACTTGAGATATATCCTTTTCGTAGATGTTTGGTCCATTGACCACAGCCACCCGTCTTCCGGCGAGCTCTCCGGTATTCTTCCTGCTGCCAGAAATGCTGGTGACATTCTTAGCAAACTCTTTCCTCCCAAGTATGTAATTTGTTAGTAGGAACTGAGAAGCACCAGTGCTGCCGACCACCAGAAGCCTTAATTCTGTAGGAGAACCTGTGAGAAAGTGAAGTTCAATTTGAGAACAACAACACCAGATACATGTAAGAAATGTTATGCATTTGCTCATCATTTTTGTGTTTCATTATCTTGCCATTGTATCTTGGGGCTGTGCTATGAGCTAAATCCTTACTGTTGGCATGGCAATATGCTCACAATGTCAATGTGAGTTTAGCATGATAACCTCGCCCAGTCGACATGTCGGCACGACAGACAGGAAAACGATCATTTTTGCCTAATGAAGTAAGGATTGAGTAATTAAAGTTCATCATGAGGGGGCCATGAATGCTCAACAAAATTGCCTGGCAAACATTTCCCTCAAAAACACAAATATCAACTTTACACAGAAGCTAGAAGAAAAGATATAGGATCATCAAAGTCATCAGTAGTCATGGTCTGAGTTACACAAATTTCATAGGAATCTTTTTATTTCTTTTTTTTTTGCGATGTTTCAGTCTGGACCGAAGGGTTTGTGGACCGACAAAGCGATAGAGTTAAAAACGCTTGACCTCTCAGTTGATGACAGCTGATGAATGGCATGCAAATTGGAATGACCCCACCTTCTTAAAAACATATTTGTTAACCCTCTGGATGTGTTAAATCAGGGTTCTTACCTTTCTTCCTCTTATCCATTAGGCAGATATACAGCACAGATTCACTCTGATTTGGATTATTGCAGCTCTCTGGACTGAGCTAAGGGTTGCACAACACATCAATCCCTCTCTCTCTATCTCTGTCTGTTGATTAGGTCATTGGTAACAGATTTACTGTTAAGTGGAAAATTACCTCAGGGTTGGATACTGGCAGCGAGGGCATTCACAATTATTGACAATTTTTTAATTAATCAACTTTTTGGATTAGGTACTTGATAAACTACAGTGTTTACTGTAATAATTTTGCAGTTACTTATTTGGTAAACCTGAATTTGGAGGATGGGATTTATGCATTACATATAGCTAGTTATATAAGGGATTAACCATCATTTTCATCCAAAGGTGCTGATCGGACTGTAAGTACATGAAGATGACAATAACAGACTCTAGAGTTGAGCTAAGAGATAACATTATTTTTTGTTATTCCGTTAAAATTATAATTTAAAATGTGACCCTACGCAGTCATCTCAGTCCACCACAAGGCATGTTTTTTCCTGGGGTCAGGAAAATCAATAGCTCATTAAATTAGTTTGATCCTGTGTGAGGAGAGGATAAATGTATATTCTAAATATAGACTAGGTTTTTGTTGTTAGTCTTTGCAACCATAAATAACAGTGTTTTTATGCATCATGCAATAAAGCGATGCCATGTTCAGATATGCATGAACACTCTGTGTTCACAAAAATCACAAAATGCTGTATTATTCATATTTCAACACGGTCAGTAATGGAAAACAAACAGGTCCATTTTTTTGTATATTCACTGTCCTTTAATTCCATACATAATAATCAATGTAATGTATGTTTATCAGAAATGGGTGTGCTCTGAATGATTCCACTCTGCAGTCTGAATACAGACGATAGGCCTGACTCAACAGCACCTCCGTGTGGTCAAAGTACGCAGCACACGCAGAGCAAAACATGTGTTTCCGGTTTGGAGTGACGTCACAGACACCAGGAAGAAAACATCCAAGCACATTTGAGTTTACGCGACATTGATGCAACGTTTATGGCGGCGGCTCTGCGGGACCGTGTGTCCCAGTGAAGGACCACCGTCGGCCATTTAAAGTCCATTTAAAGGACACAATGTTCACGCGCACGCTGCGCGCGGGGCGACGTGTCGTCTCTCCCGGGCTGCGCGGCTTCTCTGGGGCCGGCGGCGGAGGACACGTTGAGGACGCGTTTGAACGGACAGACTCTCCAAATCAGGCGTCTCTCTACGTGCACGTGAGCCACCATTGGTCGATTAAACTGATCTCATGCAGAGAAATGTGCAAAGCCCCGCCGCGTGCACTGAATCAAATCCAATGTATCAGTACAGTTACTTCAATTGCAAATCCTATAAAAGAAAGTCACCTCCCTCCTCTCTTCCTCTGCAGTGGCCTTACTGCCTCAGAAGGTGCACCTACTGCAACTTTAACAAGTACATACCCGGAGAGAACAATGACCTCACGATGACCGAGTGCCTTCAGCGGGAGACCGACACGTTGTTGCAGCTCAGTCAGGTCTCCTGGTACGGTAACAGTGTCTCTCTCCCCACATGAGGAATCGGCTGTCACAGAGTGCCGTCGTCCAACCATCGGTCTTGATTTCTCTCCCTACAGCATCACCTCGGTTTTCTTTGGCGGTGGGACTCCGAGCCTGGCTCCCGCCTCGACCGTTGCCGCGGTCCTCCAAACCGTTTCGAGCCGGGCGCATCTCTCAGGCGAGGCGGAGGTCACGCTCGAGGTCAACCCCACTCCCGCGGGAAAGTCAAGGTTAGCGGATTACCGCCGCGCAGGGGTGAACCGCTTCTCCATCGGGGTTCAGGTGAATCTGTAATACATACAGAGAACTGATGTCACGTGATCGGATTATGAGCTGCGTAGTTGCACGCGTCACACTTTTCAATTCCTTCAGTCTTTGCAGGATGAGGATTTAAAAACTCTGGGCAGAGACCACAGCTCCCGTCAGGCCTTGCAAACCGTCGAAGAGGCCAGGAGGCTGTGCCCTGGCAGGGTGTCCCTGGATGTGATGTTCGGTCGGCCCGGTCAGAGCGCCGCCTCGTGGGAGCGCGAGTTGCGCGAGCTGTTGAGGGTGTGCGACGACCACGTGTCTCTGTACCAGCTGACCGTGGAGCGAGGCACCCAGCTGTTCAAACAGGTGCAGAGAGGCGAGGTGGCCGTGCCCGCTGAAGACGCGATCGCAGAGATGTACCGCTGTGCGAGGAGGACTCTCCGGCAGCACGGCTTTCTGCAGTACGAGGTCTCCAACTTTGCGAGGAACGTGAGTCCTCGGCGCTCTGTTCCCCACCTTCCCAGCAGGCATTCGTTCTTCAGTAAAGCTTACAGGACGGTACACTGTAAAGCAGTGCTTCATATATAGGGAGTACACATATAAAGCTTACAATATGAGGAGTAAACAGGCAGCACAACGAAACCTGTTAGAGACATTTAAAACAAAATAAAATCTAGATAGAAGAATGGGGAATGTTAGTCAGTTTTTGGCGAGACGTCGCCATCAACAGGGCAGATGTCACATGAACACGTCTTGAGGTCGACAATCCCGACAGCGTGATGACGCGTCGCTTTGTGTCACGCAGAAGGCGGTGAGTCATCACAACACGAGCTACTGGAAGGGAAGACAGTACATCGGCGTCGGCCCAGGTGCGCTACATTGTCTCGGGTTGAAGGCCCCGGCCCCACGATGAGCAGACGTCCTGCCGAAAGCTGTTTCTGAACCCTTTTCTCCGTGGCAGGTGCACACGGCAGGTTCGCCCCTCTGGGGGAGGGAGGGGTCGTTCGGGAGGCGCGGACCCAGACCCTGGAGCCCGACGTCTGGATGCGCGAGGTCCAGCAGAGGGGACATGGGACGCGTAGGCGGATTCAACTCGGCCGCCGTGAACTGTGAGCTGTTCAGGCCAACGCGTGGTGTCTTGTGCTGAGTGTATTTTTTATTTTTTTATTTTTTACCACCAAGGGGCAGCTGCCAGTTCCGTGTGAAATATAACAAATCGCGCGTCCACAGTGTGAGAATCACGATGTCGGAGGTCCCCGCGCTGGTGCTCGTTCTTCCAGACACTCTGTCCCTGTGAAACGCTTTCATCGCACGTACTGACTCACGCCGCGCTGTCCTTGTTGTTGTCTTGTCTTGTCCCCGAGACGATCCACCATGAAAGGTGTTTCTCTTGCAGGCTGGAGGAGGTGTTGGTGATGGGAATGAGAATGACAGGCGGCATCAATCACAAGGTGAGGCTCGTACCTGCGTGACGCGCGCTGACTGGAAGCGCTCCGTTGTGTTGATCCCTCTGATGTTTCATAGCACTGGGCGATGTTCAGCCCCCGACTGGGTCTCCGCGAGGCCTTCGGATCATCCAGCGAAGTCCAAGAGTTGCTCCAGGATGGACGGCTCATTCTTGATGACAGGTGACGTATGATTAATCGACTAATAGTTTCAGCTCTGCACTTGTGTCTGAATCTCTGATCTTTTGTTTCTCCTTTACTTATTATCAGAGGTCTGCGCTGCTCCTGGGATGGACTGGTTGTACTGGACAGCATGCTGCCAGCTCTACTGGTGGAACTGGAAAGACAAATCGGTCAGAGGCTACCAAGGGATCCGCATGCTGGACAAACAGAATGACCGTAGTGTTAATACAGCAGATAACTTCAGAGAAGACTGAAAGGAGGGTTAAAAAGACCAATATTTCCATAATATACGTTTACATTTCATAATATCTGTTTCATATTGAGAAATGAGGTGTTTCCTCTTCAGTGGGACTAGACATTGGAATATTTGACCCGGTTAATGGAGCAATGCAACGGGCGCCACAGGCTTTTGTATTTGAATCTGCCTCTCTGGTATAGACTCAGGACATTAGATGTTGATATATTCTTTTTCAGTCTCCAGGTGCTTTTATGCAATTGCAATAAAAGCTGCAATAATTTATCAATTAGTGACCTACTGTGAAATTAATCGGCAACTGCTTAAATATTATTTTTCGTTTCCTCCTTTCTTTATGAAAGTAAGTTGAGGACAAACAATATTCGAGGACTTCATCTTGGGCTTTTCTTCTATAGAAGAAACGTTTCATTTGATTAATAGAGAAAATAATCGGTACATTAATAGTAATTGTTGAAACACTTTAAGAATGATTCAGTTCAAATGTTCTCGGAGAATTTACGTGTACCCATGCGTCACTAACTACAGAGGAAATGGAGACGATGTTCTGCTCATCTTTTAAGAAAATTCCTCCGGCAATCTCACTGCTTATAAACTACACAAACTAAACCACGTAGCACTGTCAGAAGTATCACTGGAGTTACCAAGTGTTCCTAAAGGAACATTTGAAGTTGATTTATTTTAGCAAGTAAGTGATGAACATTGATGGCGTCTGTCCTCTCACACTCTAACTCAGAGCTGGTGGTCTTACAGCCGGGCAGATTCCTGAACAGATACTGATCTAGTCGGTTCACATTTGACTTAACTGTGTTGTTGACGCATTTTTATACGTTCATGTAACCGTCACACCGTTTTTCATTCTAACAGAAGCCTGACGCACCGATGCATTCGTTAGGTTGTCATTCGTGACGTTGCTGTGAGCGGTACTCGATTTCTGCAGTGATCACGACGCTGTCGGGGGGGAACCGGGGGCACAGCTCTGCTCAGTGATTCATCCAACCTTGTTATAATCTGTCGGCTCCAGTGACTGCAATCTGCTTCTATTTCACACCATATAAATACATTTAAAAAACGGATGGAAACTGAACTATCAGGTCGTGAATCATCGCCTTTGCTTGAGGAGCACAACAGCGTTTGTGTGCATCAGAGAGATGGTTTACAAAAGAAGCAGTGGCCGACGTGTCGCTTTAAAGTGCTGAACATAATCGCTCCAAGTCACTCCATCACTCCGTAACTGAGGTTTTGTCTTATTTCAATTCTTTTCACAAGCTGAGGGCTCACCAAAGAGAGCCCACGCATCCGATTCGTCTTTGAAGCCAGAAGAGTGGGTTGGATATGCAAGAAAGAGGCAAGAGTTTGATGTGGGCTCTCTCCATGGTGCTGATTTCGAGTCCAATACGTCCCTCACCCCCCCTCCTTCACATGCGATCCCTTCCCCTCCCGAAACATGCTCACCCGTGAGTAGGCTACTGGTGCTGATTATTCAGGCATTGTATCACCTCAGCCCCTGAAGCCATCCACAGTGCCGTGGGAGGGTTTCAAAATGGGACCGATCTCTTCTGTAGCGGTTTAAGGCTGCTCAGTCATCTCCTCACACTGAGGAGCTCCCTCCCACACACTTATGGTCATCTTTCGCATCATCACTTGAAAAAAATGATCGGTTACGTAAGTGAATGCAAAACTGAAATCACCCGAATGATGGCTCATGAGGCACTTGTGACAATTAGAAATGTTTTATTATAGGAATATGTAAATACATTTACAAAAGCACAAAAGATGAAAGCACTGGTCCAGCCAGGTGCTACAGAGTATAACTCCTTACATAATATAACATTGCAGCATACTACTACAATTGGTTTATCGAGAAAGCGCACGATTCATTGAATCTGACACCTCTCGTGTTTGTTGTGCTTGGTGCTTGACTTCAGCACCAGCCGCAGGTCGCTGGTGAAGCTCGGGCGGCGCGCCAGCGGGTCCACGGCGGCGCAGGGCGCGCCGAAGCCCCGGCTTCCTCCCCTCCAGCCCCGCGGGCCGACGCGCATCGCCTGGTAGCTGAGGATGGAGACGAGCTGGTGGCGCGACGGACTCGTCTCGTCCGGCAGCCCGCTGAGGGCGGCGAGGGCCCGGAACGCCGCCTCCGTGCCGGCGCCGTCCTTGGCGGAGGTCTCGAAGAACGCGACGTCCTCGCCGAGCGCCTCCGTCACCTCGGACCGCCGGACGGCCCTCGGTGCGGCGATGTCCGCCTTGTTTCCGCAGACCACGACTCGCGGTCTCGCGGGATGCTTTGAGTTCAGCAACTTGGCCTTGGCGTCCTTGATCTCGTTGAGCCGCACGCAGACTTCGTCGAAGGACTCTCGGTCGTCCAAACTGAACACCAGCAGGAAGGTGTCACCTGGAGAGAGAGAGGGAGAGCATGGCTTTAGTTACATCGTATTACTAAAACACCCCACATGCACAGGTGCTCACTTGTAAAAAAAAAAAGTATTTGGTAGCATTTCATTGATGATGAGAACAAATCAAAATCTAATCTCAAAGGCTCACCTGTCAGTATGGAGAGCCTCCGTTTCGCGGGGAAGTCCCTCTCACCAGCGGCGTCCAGGAGATCCATCTGATATGCCTCCCCTCCTACGTGGAACAGCTTTCTGTGGAAGTCCTCGGTCGTGGGCTCGTACTGCTCTTCGAAGTCTTTACCCAAGAACCGCAGCAGGATGTTGGTTTTACCCACTTTGGGCGCGCCGAGCACAACTATTCTGTGACAGTTCCTGCGCTTGGTCAGACCCAGCTCCAGCAGATCCACGGACCTCTTCGGGGGTCGATCGGTGGAGACCTGCCGATTTCCGGAGCAAGAAGATATGCTCGGGGAAACCGATCCTTTCTCTTGCTGTTTCAAGCGCCCTTTAACCGTTTTGATGATGCCCATGCTCGTCTTCGATATGTTTGAGACTTTGAGATGCTGCGGTCCCGGCGCGAGGGCAGCGCCCTGAAGAAGTGAGTGCGTGATGTCCGAGTCGTGACGCCCGGTGAGCGAGTGGAACATTTCGAGGATGCCGTCAACGGGAAGGTAAATCTTCTCAGTCGCGTTCACCTCCATGTTCCCTTCGAGCGTCTCCAGGCACCGAGACGAGGCTTTCAAAAAGAATCTCACCAACCCAGTTGCTTCTCCATGTGCGTGCACCGAAACGCAGCCGAGTGGCCCCTCTTTATAGAGCAGCAGGAGTAGCGCAGTGCATGCGTCACCGCCTCATCCAGAGACCACACTCCTGTTCTGGAAGCAAACAGAAGCAAAAAAAAAACCCAGCTCTCAAGACCTGCACCTCACACTATTTTCCATATAGTTTGGACACATATAGAAGGATTTGTTTTCCCCCAATTTGTTAGAAATGATCCAAATTAGATTTACGTTATTATTTAGAACGGTTTGTCCCGAGACAAAAAACATAACATAACAAATATAACATTGTCACCTGTGCCGACCTTATTCTTATATCATTTAAGCACCTTACGTTATGGATTGATTGATAACTAATGTGTCCAGATATCAGTTGCACATCCCTGTTGCCATGGGCACAGTGTGAGAACTGTTTATTATGCAGCTGTCATGGTAACAATAATCATTGGTTCATTTTCAGTTAATATTTCCACCTCAGTCTATTTTCATGTTATAACACATCAGCTTTTCCCAACCGACGCCACATCAACGTAACGCCGGATATAACTGTGCATCATATAAGTCATTCATAAGGCTGCTATGAGTAGTGCTTTCGAACCTTATGGTTTTCTGCAACGGTCACAACACATTCTAGGTGTCAAAACTGCTCTCTGCCGTATGAGGCCCTGTGATGCAATTTGCTTTTATTTTCCTTTGTATAAAGACATAAAACATAGCACTTGGCTTAATGGAGAATTACATGAACGCATTCATTTGCATCAACGAATAAAGCTCTGTTCGACAAAGAAGATTTGCAGCTAGCATGTGGAAGTTGAAGGACGCTTACCTTTGAAAGTACATTTTGGTCCGTACTTTGTTTTCAGAAGCCAGAACATCTTGAATAACTGCAGTCTTTGTCCATCAATTCCTGCACAAACCTTGGGCACTCTGAAAGAACAGCCCATAACTCTTTCATCGAATCTGAAGAGTGTGTTCCATCTGCAGCCATACGAAAGGCTGATTGCCAATACAATCTCATTTCATCAAGTGCCGTTCAGAGAACACTGAAGACCATTTGTTAATAGGAAAAACAACAGCATTTTGCCAGATGTATTATAAAATCTAAATTACATTTATGGCTAGATTAGTTTAGTTTAATAATAAGGTCAGAAGATAAGAAACATTAAAAAGCCTTTCCGTCAGAAAAAACAGTTAATGCTACCGCTCCAATTTCCTCCTGTCATGGATTGATATTATTAGCAAACCTCCCTCGTCACAGTACATTAGGCTAATGACCGTTATTTGTGACTGCATCGACACACACTGATTACACGAGTAAATATAGAAACCCCTTTTACGCAACAATCACTGTGGTTTGTATTTATAGAAATGATTGAACCATCATCAGCCCATCAAAAAGCCACATATCGTGACAGTCATTTCACTTTGCTTTACTGTGACACGACATTTATTTATTTTTCTTATTTCTATTTCTCAAAGACACATATTTCTTTTCTCATCATTTCCCCAGAAACCAACTGATACGGGCAAGGTTCAATAGTGGACAGTTCTGCGTCATAAATTCACAGAATTCCCTGATATATCAAATGTGAATATCTGCTAGTTTATGTAATACGTAGCTAAAAAAACTACTACATTGTTAAAACTCGATTTAACAACAATTGACTGAAAATGACCCTATTGAATTCCAATCAGAGCGATGTTATTGATCCTCCGGGTAATTGGTATGTTGTGCAGTTGCTCTTACACATAAGCAATGTCAACAAAGGAACATGTTGAATATCAATTATATACATAAGCATGTAAAACACAATAGAAAATACAAGTAAATAATAAACAAGACACACATAAGACACCGTCAATATACACTCACCGGCCACTTTACAAGGTGTAAAAGGTTGGACCACTTCTGCCTTCAGAACTGCTCTATTGAGATCTGGCGACTGTGGAGGCCATTGGAGTACAGTGAACTCATTTTCATGTTCAATAAACAAAAAATTAAATAAATTTAAAAAAAATCAAATAAATTTAAACAATGCTCAATTGGTACAAAGGGGCCGAAAGTGTTCCAAGAAAAAAATCCCCCACACCATTACAACAGCAGCATGAACCGTTGACACAAGGCAGGATGGATCCGTGCTGTCATGTTATATACACACATTCTGACCCTACTATCTGAATGTTGCAGCTGAAATTGAGACTCATCAGACCAGGCAATATTTTTCCAACCTTCTATTGTCCAGTTTTGGGAAAACTGTCCATTCTCTGTAAACCCGAGAATGTTTGTGAACTTAAGAAAGTTGTCTTGACCACGTCTACATGCCTAAATGCATTGAGCTGCGGCCATGTGATTGGCTGATTCGCAATTTGTGTTAGCAGGCGATTGAACAGCTGTTCCTAATAAAGTGGTCGGTGAGTGTACATCCGGTGGATCCACAACATTTGTGGTCCAATCACAGAAAACAGCAGACAAGAAAACCCCAACACTACTCACCAGAAAACAAAGATAACCACAAGGGGGCAGCGGATGGCGACAGCTCCATTCAACGCTTAAGCAACAGGATCCTCTAGTGGACAGATCAGAGATCGCATACACTTCATGTTGTTTATTTTGGCACAAACACAAGAACCGTCAGACTTCCTTTGCAACATGACGTCACCTCAGTGCAGTGGCAGGTCCTCTCTCCTCCCCCTCTGGTCTCCCAGTACTCGCCTGCATGCCTCCCCTTCTCTGCACTGACCTCATCAGCCCTTTGTTGCAAAACAAAGGAGTGTTCAGGCATCTGTTTTCAGGAGAAATAAAGACTTAGGGGTGCAAAGACAGGGAGGAGGAGCAGGGCTGGAGGTGGTATGTGAAGTTTGGCTCCACCAGCTCGAACACAGAGAGTCACGTGAAGGCTAAAACCGGAGCAGCAACAAGCCAATGTGGCCTCCCGCACAGAGAACTAGAAATACCTGCTCTGGCAGCTTAACTGCTTGATAAACCTCGATTTTTTTTGTAGATTTGGTCTGAGTGGCGTCTCCGAAAGGTCATGCCTTTGTGGTTTTAAGGTGGAGCTGGTATTTCCTGTATATCCTACTCAGTCACCCAGTCACAAGGCCCAGTGCTCTGTACCCCCCCACTGCTTCTCCCCCGGCCTCAGGTAGTCGTTACGCACTCCAGAGTCACGACACCGTCTCCTCTGTACTTTTCCACGGAAGTCAAGCTGCTAGAAGGCAGAGATTGCTTTTTGCGCTTTGAAAGAATCCAAGACGCCGTAAAGACGGAAGGAGATTCAGTCCCTGTGTACTGCATAAGCACGTCCCTTCAGACGGCATCCCATTAGCTGTGATGAATAAATAAAGAGCAAAGACCCAACGAGCTGCCGGGAGGGAAACACAGTCCATGGTGGGACCCCTCTGGGTACGTTCACTCACTCTGCAAGGGTGAGCTGCATTGAACTGTGGGAAATAAAGGGTCTGGTGTACAATTACAGGCTTAGACCCGCTGTATCACATTTCAACGCGATACCCCTAAAATGCCAATATGTTTAGTCTCTGTGGTTTCTGTAACATTTCAATATTAAATCGGCTTGATGTTGTTAAGTGAAGCTTAAGGATACAGGGTGTGAGCAGATGTGTCCTAGCAGCGGTCACTTTGCGCCTTTCGTGCGCGCGGTCCACGTTCCGGTCGTGCGTCTCTTCCGGGTTCTCAGATCACCTGCTCCGATGAGCTCAGGTTGTGTTGCGCCAGGCAGTGAAAGTGTTAAATCTGACTCTGCATGCACCGAGCGAGCGGGCCTCCCTCCCTCCCACTCCATCCATTTGCAGTGTGTGTGTGTGTGTGTGTGTTTTTAAGGGGGGTGTCGGCTGTGTCATCCGCAAGCCAGGATTGGGATATGCGCGCACGCAACTTAGTTTCATAATAAAACCTCGCCTTTGAGGTGGATACGTTCACACGGATTTTGCTCTTTATTAAACACATTTTTTTTTAATTTTTCTTTTAAACTCCCGTTCCTTCTCGTGCGGGATATGCCGAGAGGCGGAGGCGTTTCTTCCTACACCCAAAGCCTCCCCAACTTGAGACCACACTGACGCGCTGTGACATGAAGGTAAGCGTGAAAGTGGATCGCGGTCCGTCGCGATTTCTCTTTTTTTTAAATATTATTATTATTGTTCCGCCGTGGTTTAAACTTTAAAACTCGGAATCACTGCTGAGTCACGATCGCATACTTCACAGTCCACGCGAGCTCTGCCCAGTTGACGCAAAGCGTGCACGACAAATGGCTCCGGCTCGTCCTGGTTTGGGACAAAAAGGGACGCAAGTTAAAGCGCAAACTGTGTGTGTGTGTTTTTTCATCCGAGCAGTTTCGGTGTGTTTGTTCCACGCGCGCAGTGGAGGCCTTTTCCGGGAACAGTTTGCGTCCCATAAGTGGTCGATGCGAATAGAATGTTTCACTCTGCTGGATTCTAAGACACAAGCTCACGTGCTTGTAAGGAATCATTAAAGCAGCCTAGAATGGAAAGCAGACTAAGTGAATACTTTTGAGAATCCAGTATGTCCCCACGTCAAGGTCACATGTCACAGTCCTCAAACTGTACTCTGGAATGTGTGTCGTGAGCAGAATAAATATGCATGTGTGTGCACAGGGCTCGTCGCCTCCCTCCTCTGGCTACTATCAGTTTGACTTTATGTGATGGTCATTTCATATAAAGTCACAGCATGAATGTATCCTTGTTATTGGTGCGAGTGCAATAGCCAATGGAGGCATCGCGGATTAGAAATCTGAGCAAAAGCGGCTGTGTAATTGATCTCCTGCCACAGCACTTTTCTCTCATTCGTCATTATCTGCTTTAGTCTCTCCCCCCCCCCCACTTTCAGTTACAGGAAGTTACAGAAGCGGACTATCTAGGTGTTTCTCAGTTGACCCTGGGGCTCAGGAGATAATGGGACCCAGTCATCACAAACATTTAGCCTCTTACTAACACTTCATGTATTTACAGCACAGAGCGCTCTCTCGTAGTGTGACCGATGTCACGGGCCAATTTAGTCCCTTTTCACTCACAGTACCACGGTTTCTGCTGAGGTGTTTGCATCAACTTGCCACATCTATCTTGTTCAAATATTTAGCAGGCCATCGCTCATCTCGTGGCCTCTTTTTCTAATATAAATCTTCTAATTTGGAAAAGCTTTCACATCACTCAGCTCTTGTTTGCGTTTCAGTTCTTAGTTGACGAGACAGATATGGAAGGGGGGATTTTTACCAGCTCAACTGACTCACTGCCTACAAAAGCAAGTCCAATGTCCAGGGCAAAGTGTACACACTATACTAATATTTAATATATTATATATATATATGTATATATATGTATTACACAGAGAGAGATGAGGGTTTAGTTTAAGTCCCTTTTACGGGAAGGAAAGTGTATTTCTGTGTCTTGGACTGAGGATATGGCTGCCGAGCTGATCATTGCTTACAACAACGCGCTCTATGGCCTCACACACACACACACACACACACGCGCGCGCCTCTACTCAAGTTGTTTGACGGAAAACTGATCCGAGGGGTCGTGTTTCACATCGCTTGGGGGGGGAGTTGTTTCGCTCTCCTTCCACTCACAATTTTCAGTTATCTCTGTGAATATTTGACCCAAGGATTAAAACTATTTCCTTTCCGGCAGAAACGCACCCACGGACATCACTGACGTTTCCCAATAGAAGGCCAAAAGCTTTGTTGCAAGCGATCCACCTCGTCTGAGGCGACGCAGTGGGGCTCGGCCGCCGTAACTCCATCTCTCTGCCTCCCGGGAAACACTACCGCCGCCATGCAAACCTCATCGCTCCGCCGGCAGATGAAAAACATGGTCAACAACTTCACGGAGGCCGAGGTCAAGGTCCGCGAGGCCACCTCCAACGATTCCTGGGGTCCCTCCAGCACGCTCATGGCGGAAGTCGCGGACCTGACTTTCAACGTGGTGGCTTTCACCGAGGTCATGGGTATGATCTGGAAGCGCCTCAACGACCACGGTAAGAACTGGCGCCACGTTTACAAGGCGCTGACCCTGCTGGACTACCTGATCAAAACGGGCTCCGAGCGCGTGGCCCAGGAGTGCCGGAAGAACATTTACACCATCCAGACGCTGAGAGACTTCCAGTACGTCGACCGGGACGGACACGACCAAGGCGTCAACGTCCGGGAGAAGGCCAAGCAGCTGGTGGCCCTGCTGAAGGACGAGGAGAAGCTGAAGAAGGAGAGAAGCCAGGCGTTGAAGACCAAGACGCGCATGGCGGGCTCCGCCAGTGGCCTGGGCTCTGGCTCGCTGCCTCCTCCGTACCCGGGGCGGTCCGCGGGCCAGCTCGGAGCCGCGGGGGTCGGCGGGGACGAGCCCGGCAGGTGCAGGAGCTCGCCGTCCTCCTTTCGCTGTGAGTAGAAGGGATTGGGGTGGGGGGGGGAATTGAGCGTCTACCCACCTGAGACGCGCGCCGGAGTACTTCCTTTCGTTTTCAATTTCCATCATAAAAACTCCTACGTGATCTTTGCGTATCTTCTATCTGTAATCCCGGAGACACCGTCGGTCGTACATCTCCCGTCTCTGCTGTGTCGTTGAGAAATGACTCAGACCCATGGTGCTTCTCGCTGAGGCACCTGGTGTTGTGATACGAGCAGCAAGTTCCAGCATTGAGGCCTCGATGAGTTGTGATTGAATTGCTTCTTCTTTGTTTGCTCTCCGGCTCTGCTCCCTACCGAGAGTTTGACATCTACATTCCTTTCATTCTCTTGTTTACGGTCACGTCAGCTGTATCTGCGATCACAAAAGAGAGGAGGCCCTGTGTGGTTGTCTCAACCTAATGGGAAACCACGGCTGGATACCGTGTTTACTTTTACACGTGTGATCTGTTACGCTGCAGTGGAGATGTTGGCTAGGTGGCAAGATAATATCTAAGACCCAGGTGAGCCGTCTGAGGGCGTGTAGGGGTTTAGACACCTGATGTCATTGACTATCAACTACAACGAAAAGCTCAAAAACCTAAAAATACATTGCAGAAGAAAGCATCAAGCAGCTTGTGTGTGTGCCTGCGTACCATATACCTTTTGTGGTTAATGGTGTTTATCAAAAGGTTCCGTCAGCAGCAGAGCTGCGGCTTCATGATTGCATCAGTTACTTTGAGGCCTGTCATGTGGTTTGAACAGAGATACGTCCACTTTTGGTATCTGTTTTATTTCCAATAATCTATCGAAAAAGTCTGCATACATTTTTACGCGATTGATACACATTCTTTGCATACTTTTTAGGCCACAACATGTGCCTGTGGTCACATCTGGCATGAGCAGTCAGCGCGTCCAATAGGAGCAGGGTTTTGCGATACCCAGGAAAAACATATTCTACATGTGATAACGAAATGCAAAGAGCCTCTTTCATGCCGGGTAACATAACAGCGCTACAACTACTGGCACGCTGGGCTTTGCCAATGCAGTTATTCGTTTTTAAAAAAAATGTCAATTTGCATTTGCTTCGCTCTTGGGAACACCTCTTGGATTCTGGCGCACGGAGATATTTGGAGTGTTGGACGGAATGCTGATAGATGGCGTGGGTGGGGGTTAAGAGGTCAGCGGCAGCTAATTGCCAGCAAGCGTTCCAGCTCAAACGCTGGATATTGAAGGGCAGCACAGTGGAAATGATCGGCTCCTGAGGCCTAACTTTGCCACCGTGTGACCTGCGGCCCTCTTTTAACCTTGTGACTGACAGCCTGACACCCAGACTGGTACGCTGCCAGCAGCAACAACACAACAAAAAAGACCCCACACCAGGCATCCACCCTTCCCTTCCTCCAAACTAGGACCCCAGCCCAGAGTATTTAGGGTAATAAGGTGGGCTCCACTCCAAACCGTCCATTCCTCTGGCCCTGCACCTCCCCGAATCTCCACACAGAAGCACCATTGTTCTCTGAGCAGGGAGGCAGGCGCAGTGGCGAGCAATGCCAGCAAAGGCCCTCACCAACGGGCAGTTTGGAAAACAATAAAAAGCAAAAACAGCGCCGGCTCCTTTTTCATACCTTTTTTTTTTTTAAATCACTCTCAAAATCAGTCTTTTTTGTGTTTAACACCCTATCCCCTCCGCTGTTCCTCTGTAGCCTCCTCTTCCTCCCCTCAACTCGATCCAGAAATGGAGCAAGCTCGGCCCGCGACCAGTGGAGAAGAAGAGCTGCAGCTGCAGCTGGCCCTGGCTATGAGCCGAGAAGAGAGTGAAAAGGTACCTCTAACTAGGATAACACACACACACACACACACACACACACACACACACACACACACACACACACAGAGAGACACAAACAAACCTCTCATCTCTACAGCACGAGCGCCTGAGGAGAAAGAGACTTAAAAACATTAAACGCCCCCCGCCCCCCCCCCACACACACACACACAGGGTTGGACACTGCCTGTAATGGTGGGTGAGGCGCTCTTACTGCCTGTCTCACCGAAGGCCACCATTTCCCGAAAGCCTTAACCAAAATGATCTCATCAACTCCGATGTGGTCAATAATGGCGTCAGCCATGCTGAAGAGTGAGGGAGCTGGAAGAGAAAGCGAGAGAGAGCCAGACAGGATGTGTGCATTGATCCACTCTCAAGCAAGACATGGCAGCCGCTGCCCTCTGTGACTCCTCTTCTGCTATTGTAGGAATATACATATATAATAGGAGCATACATTTTATTCATACATTTATTACTTTAATTCATTGGATGTCTGGAAGCTTGACCCAATCAAGCAAAAACAACAAACAGCGTTTACCTCTCCCGTTCTCCTTATACTACCTGCTGGACCGTAGCCACCCCCTACACTGGATATTGATGAACAGACCCAGCTGCAGATCGCTATGACGCTCAGCCAGGAGCAGCCCCAGAAGGTACAAGTAGGCTGCCATCAGGGGGGGGGTGGCTGTTCCCTTTTGCATCGTATGCCCCGTGCCGCATCTGCTGTGGCTCTGAACACTGAAACCAACCTCACCGGCCTGTCTGGGCCTCCTCAGAACCTGCTGCATGTACTTCACCATCTCCATGGCCTCCCTTAACCCCCCCTCCACCCCCCGAAAAAGGAAAAGTCATTTTCTCCAGCGACTAATGGAACAAGGCTGCATTCTTCTTCTCCACTAACCGTTAAATCTCTCCGTAGTTCCGTAGGGGCGACGGGTTTGACTCGTTTTACGCTAAAGTTGCATGCAGCGTACTGTACTGTTTGACCAAGCTTTGTTTACATGTTGTTGATCAAATACTGATTGCGATTCCCTTCCTAGTCAACCACCCATTCCAAGCCAGTCAAACCTGCCCCCGCCCCTGTTGCACTGGATATGGATGAGGACACGCAGCTCCAGTTGGCCCTGAATCTGAGCAAGGAGGAGCACCAGCAGGTAGATTTACTTGGGGTTTAAATATATTTCCATTCCCTCTGCTTCCTTGTTTTGCAGAGAAGAAGAAAAAAAACAAATGTTTTGTACCTTTTTTTTAATTTTATTTTTTTGGGTGCATCCAGTGATTCTCTGCTCTCTCCTGTCTGACCGCTCAACTTTCTGGTTTGTGCGCATTGCACTCAGCTATATCTGGGTCGTACGCCGCCTAGGAAAACGGGCCTGGTCATAAATATAGAATGATGTAACAATATTTGAATTTGCCCCATGGCGTCTGTGTCTGGATCTGTTCACAGGAGCAACTCAGTCGCCAAGGGGACGAGTCAATGCTCAAGAAAGCTCTGGAGGACAGCAAACGTGAGATGGAGTCTAAAGGCGGGGTATGATTTATTGGGGTATGGAATATCTCAATGGGGGTGATGAAGCATAAGCATACTGTAGTATACTTTGGTTTTTAAAACAACGTATCCATAGAAAAAGGCCCAATATATGTCTATCTATTGTTACCCATAACGAAAATGATGGGCAGGATTACAAGGTCTAATCAGGTTTTACAACCATTAAATACAACAGTGACAATCTCAAACTGTTTTTTCTTTCGTTTTATAAGATTAGGATTCATCAATAATTAAACTCAACTTTCACTTTTTTATTTACCGATGAGAGAACCATCACAGAGTCTTAAAGCCTTATACCCTACTGACTATATCTTCTTTTTTTTTTTCCTTCTTTTTGTTGATGGCAGACCGCTTTCATGGACCTGGTAGACGTGTTTGCGCTGCCCTCAGATCAGCCTCCTAGTAACCACCGATGGCTCGGTGCCCCACAGCAGGCGGCTGCTGCTGCTCCGGGGAGCACAGACCGCTGGGACTCCCTGGGTGAGCCTTGAATTAGCTGACCATCACCAAAGCGCTTAAATTAGTCATAAAATGTGTAGTCCTTGAAGACTGAAATATTTGCAGCCTGATTAATTTCAGGTGTTTCCAGAAACCGTAGTGTTTGCATTAAAACTCATTCTTAATGCGTTTTGGTTTCATTTGTTCTGCCCACATGCCAGGACAGGAGCCTCTCTCTCCTCATTAACCTCTGTTATTTAAGTAGGCAGCAACAATGTCCCGGGAGTAGATCCCCCCTGGATGGCCCCCCCAACATCAAACAGCCCCCCTCCTCCATGGGAGCCCCCAGTCAATCCCTGGGACGACCCGCACAGCAACCTGGACGCCGCAGGCCGAGAATGGGCCTTCCCTGTGAACACAGGTGATGCACACGCTCATTCAGCTTCAACCATGTCAAAATAAACAGGAGAGGCCACATTTAATTTAAGGGTATAGTCTACATAGACTATTAAAAGCACATTTTATTTTGGTGTGCAGCTGCCTCAGGACTGGATCCATTCTCAGCCCTCAAAGGGCCTGTCAGGGAACCCTATCTCCAACCCGGAAGCCCCTCGGGTAAACAATACGTTCCTTTTACTGCTCTCATTGGGATTCCGCCCAAATGTGCGTCGTCACAATTTGCTCCTTTTCTGCCGTCAGATGGGGATTTTTTTGATGAAGCCATGGATGGAGGCCCGGTGGATGTAAATGGGCGAGGGGAAAGCAGTCCTGAGACATTTGACCTGTCCCGTCTTGGAGAAAGCCTGGCAGCCCCCGGCCCTCGTACGTGCCGAACACCTGAATGCTTCCTGGGCCCCACAGCGGCATCGTTGGTTGACCTGGATAGATTGATCCCAGTAAATCCTCCAGCCAAGACCTTGAACCCCTTCCTATCAGGTATTTGGTGCATTATTGACTCATTTTGGGATACAGGGGGAAGAAGTTTAGAATTAAATACTGTGTTGATTAAGTTCATTAACCAAAATGTTTTTGGGTTTTTGTCTTTCTGTTAAGGCCTCCCTGCTCCATCAGCCAACAATCCATTCCAAGCGGAGCCGCCCAAACTAACTCTGAATCAAATGGGCTATGCCCCCCCCTCTCAAGTTCCCCAGGGCACTTCCCTTCCCTACAGTGCCTCCTTGCCCTTAGCCATGAGCCACCAGCCTGCCAGCCTCCCCGTGTCTCTTACTCACCCCACCCAGCCCGGCCTCGGCCTGCCACCGACCCTCCCCGAGCCGCTGTTGCCCTTCTCTTCAGGCAGCATCGACGGATCACAGGCTGCACAGAACCCTTTCTTATGAGGATCAACTAAACTGGAGAAAATATCTATTAAAAAAAGGGTAACTGCGGATTGAACTTCCGCACCCAGGACTTGAATGCTAAGTTTTCATATTGTACTATAATCCGGTAACCACTAGATTAATGCAAGCTGGTTCTGCTCCTCAGTGCAATAATCTGTCCTGCTCCACTTGTCAATGATGCAGTGACAAGAGTATACAAAAAAGTAACATTTGTATCAAAAATGGCATTCTTTATCTTATCTATTGCAACCTGAATTCAGAAAAAAAAACACCTACACAAAAGCACAGTTTGATAATATTTTGATGTCGCTTCACTTAGCCACAATTACCAGGCAATTGTATTACGGCTTTTCAACAAGTCTCTTGCTAACTCCTGTCTGTGTGATTGGCTTTTCTGGCTGCTGCTGCTTTTCACATACAAATGTAGAAAAAAATGGATTTCCCATAAGAGACCAGAGACCTGTCCCGTGCTTTAAATGCTGCTGCCTCAATACGGTTAAATTTGTTGAGTGTCTGATGGAATGAGAACTGATTAGTAACAGTCGTGTGCATTTGACTTGATTTTTCTGAGTTTGGGAGGACTGGAAGTGCTAAATAATTCACCATGAGCACGTCACCATTAGCAAATGAATGCATTTTATTGATTGCTTGTGAACGGATTCATCAAATATAAGGGTAAAATTGGAACACTGCCTAATTTTTCTGTTTGTTTTATTGCTTTGTACTTCATCAATTCCTGTGGCATCAACACATTTCATTCACAAGCCAGTCAGTAACATTTGCAATATATGTTGTGCACTGTATGCCCTCTGCTGGTAGTGACACATTACCTGTATGCTGCAACACTTACCAACACACAGTAATCACTAATCAGCATGAGGCTCCCTGTGTAGTCAGTCAAGCAGTTTTCTATTTGTTGGTGCAGAATTGAATTGGTAAACATGACCAACATGAATAAGGTTAGTACTTTACGTGAAGTCGGACCGAACATATTGTAACCATACAATCACTACACCTGCCATTGTATAACCAATGCATCTCTTTCACCATTTACCCATTCCACTGACCAAATGTATATGGTCCCAAAGTTATGGCAACAGATTTTCAAACTGTTTGGATCAAACACCAAAAACATAATTTAATAATAATACCAAAGTCTTTTCACATTGAGGATACTGACATCTTACCAAAAGGCTTGGAGTGATCATCCAAAGTAATTTGTGAGTAGAATTATAAGCCTGTGATCGTTCACTTGACTATGATGGACTCCAGCCAGCTCAGCACCTCCTGCAGTCCCTGTCCAGTGCGGGCACTGACTTCCAGTATTGTGATTGGCTGAGTAGCGGCTGCAATGATGTCGTCCATTCTGAAAAGTGATTTTATCTCCACGAGACTCATAATGCACGGCATGTCCCTGGAAATAAAAAATACACAATGGCAGCTTCCAGCTAGAGACTGTTTTGATGATGGACACATGTTGTGCTCCACCAGCAGGCAGTGCAATCTTTAGGGGTGCAAAAGTGAAAAGTGGGGGTTGTTGTGTACGTGTGTAGGAGTTACCTCTTGTTGAACAGAATCAGCACAGAAACACCGTGCAGAGGTTCAGCAGAGAGCACCGACAGCAGCTGGATGCAAGATGAAGATATCTGAGCAGTGTTGGCTGAGTCGACAATAAACTATAAAACCCAAAAAAAGTTATTCAGTGAAAGGATTCCAACAGTTACCAAAGTCGCAAATAGATGCAGCTTGTTTACAAAAAAAACATACAACGACTGAGTAGCAATCCTTGAAGTAACTGGGCCATATGGGGCCCATGCAGCCTCCCAGCTCTCTGAGTGTCACCTTTTTCTTCTTCAGTATAAGGTCTGAGAGGTTGGTTCCTACCTGTGGTGTTTTAAGGGATTACAGACGTTAATAAAAATGGAGGCTGCACACATTAAACGAGGATTAAAAGTACCTCCCGATAATACTTACTGTGGGCAAAGTAGAGGGAGGTTCCCCGAGCTCAGATGATCCATGCAAACAGAGCTGTAAACAAACAATGTTAGGAAAAATACCCACAAGAGCCAGTGCACTGGCTTCAGATTAGAAAAATGGCCATTTAAACAGTTTCGATGATGTATGTTTTGGTCGGTTAAAAAAAGGGTTTATATGTAACGTTAGTTAGTTAACGGTCAACTGACGTCACTTATTGCGTTTGCTACTGAAGCAGTGTATAAGGCTACGCTAGCTAACGTTAGCTAATTAACGTTAACTAACACAAGGGAAGCCAGTCTTTTTTCCGAGTTCCAGTTCTAAAATTCGGCTCGCTTAAAGGATATTTTGTAAACGTTTCAACAACAAAGTTTTTCCGACGCCAGTCGCTCCAAGCAGCAGACAAATGTCACGGCTGCTCATTTCTTTTTAGCAGAATGACGCTGTAGCCACATTTAGCATGTAACGTTAACTGGCGTTAAATTCATTTGGCACCATGGAGACGATCACGTGACACGCGACGCGTCACTGTGATAGGACGAAGTAGAAGTCACATGTAAATATACCGGAAAATAACAAGTCCACCGTGCTCCAGACGGTTTTCGTTTGCGTATTAGTGATAAATTCACTACAATTTATTGTGGGGAATAATAATGGAAGCTAAGTTAAAGGAAGAATTGGGCTCCGCCATGCTTAAGGCAACAGGTCACTCCGGAGGAGGATGCATCAGCGAGGGCCAGAGTTATGATACTGACACTGGGAGAGTTTTTGTGAAGATAAATCACAAGAGCGAGGTATTGTTTCCATTATTGTTTTAGATTATTACAGTGAAGTGGTTTTAGCTTGTGTCTGGCGTTTCATATGTACCCGCCAGTTAAATCCTCTTTGAGTATTTGACAGGCACTCAAGTAGTGTAGGCCTACTGTACTTATTAATTGATTGTCCACACACGTTAATATGGAGACAAATTTCACTATTTCTGCACATGCAAAGCAGTGAAGATGAGTAATGCTGAACTCCTCACCAACCCAAATCCGTGTTTTTTTTTATATCCAGGCCAAATTGATGTTTGATGGGGAGATGGCCAGTTTGGAAGCCATTTTAAAGACAGAAACTGTTAAAGTCCCCAAGCCTGTGAAGGTGGTTGAACTTGACACAGGAGGATGTGTATTTGTGATGGAGCATCTGGACATGAGAGGTCTTACCAAGTAAGATATCGCTCATAAAATGTGTTCAGCTCTGACTAGAATAGAGGGCAACGTGAAAATGCAGATAGTTTGTGTTTTTTCTTTTCTTTTCTTAACAAAATACTATTTTTTCAAATCCAATATAGGTACTCAAAACACCTAGGCGAACAGCTGGCAGATCTACATGTTCACAACAAGAGACAATTGGAAAGAATACGCAACGAGCAGCAGACTGTGGGTAATAACCTTTAAGTTAACTTTTGCACGAGTAGATAAAATGCACCAAAACATCTTTCCTCCTCTGACAAATATCACTTATTTGACTGTACGCAGGAAAAGGAGCAGGACAATCAGAGGTGGTGGTTGTTGAGAAATTTGGATTTAGTGTACCTACATGCTGTGGATATCTATCTCAGGTAAAAAGAAGTATTGCGTTTGTATACAAGAATGTGGTCTCAGTGTCTTTAAGCTGTGACTGTAGTCCTGACTGTATTTCTTCTCTTTCCTCACCAGGAAAATGAGTGGCAGGATGACTGGGTGATGTTTTACTCCCAGCAGAGACTGCAGCACCAACTTAACATGGTTGAGAAATCCTATGGAGACAGGGAGGCCCGAGAGCTATGGGCCAAGCTACAGGTGCAGAAAGAAAACATACTTTACACATTCCTCTATGTTTGTATGAATGCGTTGACAGAGCGACTTTTGTATTGTGTCCTTTATTTACAGCTAAAGATCCCTCAGTTTTTCACAGATATGGTGATTTTCCCTGCTCTTCTCCATGGAGACTTATGGGGGGGCAATGTGGCCCAGTGTGCAGTGGGCCCTGTCATCTATGACCCAGCCTCCTTCTATGGCCATTCCGAGTATGAGCTGGGTATTGCAGGGATGTTTGGTGGATTCAACAGTTCTTTCTACTCTGCTTACCACGAAAAGATTCCTCAAGCGCCAGGCTTTGAAAATAGAAACCAACTTTACCAACTCTTCCACTATCTGAATCACTGGAACCACTTTGGTGGGGGCTACAGGGGCTCATCGATAAGCATTATGAAGAAGCTACTGAAATAATCACACTTGTACAAAGCTTCATAGGCTTAACTCATAGAAGTTTTAAGTTTGTTTTGCCAGATGATGCTTTTATAAAAAAGCAGTGTCCCTAATTGCTATCGAGACTAGTACATAACATTGTAAAATGTTTATGTCTGTCACATTGTGTAGAAAATACAGAATAAACATATCAAAATGTTTTGATGATGTCTGCCACATCTATACCAACATGCTTCATGTGGATTCTTTAAAGTATGTTTGAACAACAACATATATTCTATAGATTTTTTTAAAGTTGTGTATTTGTTATACCTACTTGTGTGTAGGTTGCTGACAACCAAAAATAAACCTTAATATTTGAAACGTTTTAAAAAGAAAGGGCTCATCAAATACCAAGACCTCAACAATGCACCAACGTAAAAGCTCTTCGTTTTTATTGAAAAGCACGTTTGCTCGTCTGTAAGTTAACAAAAAGACAGAGGGGTATGATTTGGTATGCTGGAAAACCTTTTCTTGATCCTTAACCTTTTCTTAATACATCCTGGGGGGAACCAAAGTATTCCGGCCTTCTGTATTTGTTGTCTATCTGGTATGAGATTTTGTTCAGTATGCTTTAATGTTTTCTCAGCTATGAAATCAAAAATCTTACTTTGAACATAAAAACTATTTAGGGTTTTATATAAAAGTAGTTAAATACAAAGAAATAATTATGCATTTCTAATGTAACTAACTTGAATAAAAGTAAATATTTGTCTTTTCTGAGAGGTACATTTTATTACTACATCACTGCCCCATTATTATTGAAGCATTATGATTTAAATGTATCATAAGTCTGTAATCTGCTATTGTTAAATCTGTGACTCAGTATCATATTTTATATTTAGTTTGTAAAAGCTTCTGAAAACTAACTTGTAGGGCCAGTTATAGGAAGCTGTCATAAATGAACAATATTATCCTCTATAAAGACAGTCGATAGAAAGTAGCATCACCGTCTGAGCCTTCTCGCTCTCCGTAGTCGGGAAGGACCTGACTGCATCTGCTGCGCACATACAAAGACCTCAGACTCCTGCTTCGGTATTGTTTAGTGAAATTAATTTCAGTTTGCGGACATTTTTTTCCATGCGAATACCCTCTTGAACAACTCCGTGTTGTCGCTGTTTATTTAACACATTCATTTTTTTCCGTAAGCTAAAGTCAACTATTTCATTCCTATCCGTCCCTGTTGCTAGGCAATGCTAATACTAGCCGGCTAACGTCAACTTGTTCACAACTTATAACAACAACAAACGCCAACGGAAGCCTTTGCGACAAAGATACTATTTGTAGGTAGAAGCCCGTCACGATGGTTTTATCGGAGGCAGAAGGTGGATGTTCCACCGGCGAAGGGGGAGAATCCATCGTTAATGCGTGTGTGTTGGGGGGCTTCAGTGAGAGCAGTGAGACCAGAGACCTCCTTTCCAGCCTGCTGGAGATCCACGGTGACATCGTGGCAGTCGAGTTCGCTACTCAGCGGTTCTTAGGTGAGATGATCAAGCCTCAAACCCCCGCAAAAAAAGAATCAGAGATATGGATTTGATCATTATTAGTCTCGCAATTCATTCCGCTGCCCGTTTTCTCCCATAGTGATCATGAACAGGTATCAAGAGCAGCCCCATCTGCTGGACCCCCACTTAGGTAAAATATCTCTTAATTAGTTCAATCTTTTTTTTTTTAGTACGGTAGATCCACTTAAAGAACGTGTGTACATTTCACTGCTTATTTTTATGATAGAATGGATGCTGAACATGATACTGGAGATAGTGAGGTGTGAACACTCTGCCTCGTCATTGGTTCATTTGTCCTTCAAGTTTCTCTACATCATCTGTAAGGTCAGTCACAAACATCTGCATCGCCACACTGCATAGACAGAGTAACACCTGGAGATTTTATGACACAGTGAAGTTATGCAGCTTATCCCGTAATCCTGATTTGTAAAGCAGTTTGTATTTTCTTTTTTTTTTATTGCGCAGGTGCGAGGCTACAAAATCTTTATGCAGCTTCTCCCCCATGAGGTGGCAGATGTCCAGCCAGTTCTGGACCTGTTGTCCAAGCAGGATCCCAAAGACTCTGAGGTGAGACTGGCCTTACTATTCAAAGGCAATGATCATTTAGGCCTTCACAATTACACCTCTATGACTCTGCCTCAAACATTTTTGCTTTGGACGATGATGCATTTTAACGTCTACTCATTTCAGACTTGGGAAACCCGCTACATGTTGTTGTTGTGGCTGTCCATGACCTGCCTTATACCCTTTGACCTTTATCGTCTGGATGGTGATCTGGAATCCGAGGGTGGCAAGGTCAGAGAGCCTACCATGGACCGCATTCTCGCTATCGCAAAGGCAAGTTAAATATATGCTACAGTTTTGATTCCACTCTGTTTTTTAAAAGAGAGATTGAGAAGAGAGATACTACATGTCTAGGTTTCACTTCCTATGGCGGCTTAGCTCTGTATCATGCCTTGTTAATCTGCGTAAATGATAACAAATTACCCTCTGCTCCTTTATAGTAACATATCCCAGTGAGAATCAAGAAGCTTGTTACCTGAATGGAATATTTTAGTATTTGAGGGTTTGTTTGTAGTCAGTCCAAAGCGCTTTTACCATACACCGCAAGTAACACATGTAACATTTATTTCTTTTTGTAGTCGTATCTTCTCGTCAGTGACACTCCTCGGGACGCTGCATCTGTACTGGTATCAAAGTAAGTACATGATCACAACACAAAGTCTTTTGATCTTGGGTGTATCCCAAAACATCACAGTTTGAACCATTGGAACTATAATTGAGTTTTAGTTTTTCAATACTCATAATTGGACTCGCAAATTTGATTTGCACACCATTCCTAATAAGACGAGAATACAATTTTGCAGCCACGGAATATCTGGGGTGAAACTGAGCAGTGGCATTCTTGATGTCGATAGTCTAGTGTGAACGTATGAATACTATAGCAATGAAAACCAATTCATTATATTAAACATCTGTAAATGTTATACTTGGTTTTGTTTGTTTAGTTTCCCTGAAGATATCATTTCAATAGTGTAAATAGTGAAAGAGATTCCTTTCGCTATTGATTTAAAATATATTATCAAGCCCTTTTGTGCATTTTACAGGTCTTACAAAGTGTACAGAATTCTGTTGTGCATTCATGTGTTGTGGTACAAAGTCTACGTAAACTGAAAGCTTATCTTATCTAAAAGATAACCAGACTAGTTTTATTATTATTCTCAGTGTATTTTGGATATAAACAATGGCTTGTTGCATATGTCAAGCACAGGTGTCTATGCAGCACGTGTCAGTCATGATTTCCCAAAGGTATTGTTAAAACATGGCAAGTGGCAATAGATATGTTATTGTACCTGCATTGCAGTTCTCACCCACTAGAGGGCGACGTTGCTCTTTGACTCTCTTCAGTGCCGTCTGGATTTATTTATCCACATGAAACCTCCTGACTGTTTTTTGTGTCTTTTATTGTACATGACTGTACAGGTTCATGACGCGCCCTGATGTGAAACAGAAGAGCCTCGGAGGCTTTTTGGACTGGAGCCTGACAACTATTTCCCAGACGGACGATCAGTCGATGAAAGACATTATGGTGCTGGATGGGGCCCTGCAGTCTCTGGTAAACATGCATCCTCACTGATCGCCCTTAAACCTGTGGCGTTGCACACACACCTGTGTGCAAATGTTTGATGCCAGTGTAATCAGCGTGCGCGGCGTTATCGAAACTGGCGGAGGGTGGCTTACAAGAGCCGACACGACCGGCACGGCTCACACAATACCTAATGTGGTTTTGGCAGGTGTGTAATCCACCTGCTGCGTGTGTGGGCTGCGTGTATCCGCTGCTTTAAGATAAACGGTTCTTCATGAAATGAGTGACGGATAGAGTATTTAATCCCCCAAAAAGTTACTTTCTTTATTCACCCTGACGCCTCTTGATAATACACTTATTCTCGCTGCAAATCTTTATCAAGATTTCATTTAACTTAACACAGGCCTCAAGCAAGTCCATTCAACTTTTACCACTGACACATGGACTTGAATTTCGTGTTTATAAAGCTTTTCTTTGTCCTTAATGTAACCTGTTTCCAGTGGTGCTCAGGGCGTTCAAAACTGTCTGTTAAGTCAACGTACCTACAGGACCGATAGCTGCTTGTTTTAGTGTGTCAATTATTTTTATATTGCCACAAATATTCAATATGTGAGGTCAAAAACAATTGTCGACAAATTAGTTAATAGGGAATTAGTTTTTAAGTCTGAGGTTTGTTAATGCAATAAAAATGTTGATTCTGTCATGTATCGGAAACTGATGGTCATTTTGTTTATGTCTCCTAGGCAACGCTCTTCAAGCATGGAAAAAGAGATGACCTGCTAGAATATGGTTCGTTCCATTTCCCCTGTTATATTTATTTCCTCTAAGACCCGTTTTTGAATCATGTGATTGTGACATTGCAGTCTTTGTTCAGTTGATTTTGTACTGTATAATTATTTTTCTCCACAAATTATGTAAAATGTCTTATGCCGGAGGGGAGATAATTGAATGCAGACATCAGGAGATTGTTTCCTATACAAATAAGGCCTTTCTATACTTTCTATGATCCAAGCTTTTCTTTGACATGCTACGCACGGCACATTTCTAACTAGATATGACATTTTCTGTAGGATCTGCAGATGTTGTCAATGGCAGTTTTCTTCCTTATTTGTTCACCTGTAATATTATGCAAATATAAAAATTGTCAACACAGTGAGAATTTCCCAACCAGAATTCCTTTGTATTCCATGAAGCCTCAAGGCAAATACCTACAATACATCTGTATTCCTGTCTACATTTATCAATTCATACGTTGCCACATTATTTAGACAAATAACATTGAGGTCGTCTTTTTTTCTTTTGTGCACAGCTCCTGCAATTATGCAGTGTCTGGAGCAGAAACAGCTTTCCGAGAGCAGCCAGGCTATGCTGAGGAAGCTGGGTGTCAAACTAATCCAGAGACTTGGCCTCACCTTCCTGAAGCCCCGTTTGGCCGTTTGGAGGTCAGACTAAACGCCAACTTGTTTTATTCAATCGGTATCTACACAGTGATAAACAAACCCAGCCTGTGTTTGCCACTTTTCACCCTCAATGAGCTGCGGCTAAATTAGGCCGGTAGACGTTTAAATGCGTGGTTTTATATTTGGGATTTTAAGGTACCAGAGAGGCAGCCGCTCACTCGCAGCAAACCTTTCCATGTCCCAGTCGAATTCAGTCGCCACCGCCGCGACTCCCGACGCGGAGGTTATGGAGGAGGACTACGACATTCCCGAAGAGGTGGAGACCGTCATCGGTCAGTGATGGACTCTGTTTTTACTCCTGCTTGACGTTGAATCACCTTCGCTCAGAGAATCAAACGTGCATTTTTATTTCCCAGAGCATCTGCTGTTGGGACTGAAGGATAAGGAAACGATCGTGCGCTGGTCTGCGGCAAAGGGGTAACACCGTGCTCACGTGTCTCCTCGCTGCTGCTTGTCTTTTTTTGTTTCTTTATGTCAAAGAGTTTCTGTGGTTTTTATTGAACCCCTCAGCATTGGAAGGGTGACTGGGAGGCTTCCCAAGGAGCTGGCAGATGAGGTGGTTGCATCAGTGCTGGACTGCTTCAGGTAGGTTGATCGTTTGGGCAGGTTAGCTGCGTTATGCCCACTATTCCTCTGAGGTGTTTTATGTCTGTGTGTTTTCTTCTTCAAGCTTCCAGGAAACGGACAACGCCTGGCACGGAGGCTGCCTGGCTCTGGCAGAGCTTGGGAGGAGAGGCCTGCTGCTGCCGTCCAGGTTGACGGATGGTATGTGACCACAAATTCCCTTTCAGATGGTTATTGTAAGGGGTGTGTGTGTGTGTGTGTGTGTGTGTGTGCGCTAGTGTAAACAAGTTGGTTCTGGTTGACCATTTATTTATTTAAAAAATATATTTACATGTACAATACATTACCACATCTTCCAAAAAATGTACGATTTAAATATTAACATCCCATATAAAAAGCGTTTTTTTTTTTTTTTACAATCAAGAAGAACAACACATGCGCGTCAAGTCTTTTCGTTTAACAATTCTTTTTTACATTTAACACAGCGGCAGTGCCACGGACATTTCCATTATTAATTATGTTCAATAAATTGATCATCTGGAGTTCAGGCTTTCAGTGTTGACGGTTGGAGATGCTCTGTCCTTCATACCAAGTAATAAAAACAGTTTAGCAGCGACGAGGCCTCCTCCTCAGAGCCCGTCCTGGTGCTTTCGCTCTCTTGTTTGCTTCGTGGCACTTGGTATCAGCCTGATCACTGCCTGCTCTTTTCACACCGGCCTTCTTAGCAATACTTGTGTGTTTGGTCTTCTCTGGAGAGCGCAGACTCAAAGTGTCCGCGGAATCCACAGAGGACCTATGAGCGGCGCTAAAGTCCCGCAAAGAAGGAGCGGAGCTTGCAATGGCCAGCTGACAGAGTGCCAGCGCTGCAGTCTGCCTCTGGTCACACGGCTCCTCCTCCAGCTCGGCGTCGGACCTCAGCCGGAGGTCTTCTGAAGCGCTCGGGGCGCCGCTGTGAGCGGGGCTTCTGTCAGGAGCTCGCAGGCTGAGGTTCAGAGGCAACTCTTTTCCCTCCAAGTCCTGTGGGCTTGAGCTCCTCGGTCTGTGACTTCTCTCTGTGCCCTCTGTCCTTGTTGAGAGGTTTAGGGGGGTCAAATCTTCTCCGCCGTCCTCCACGCCCAGGTCTGGCGACGTTTGAGGTCGAGGCTCAGAAGCCATCAAGGAGGAATATCTGTGGCTCCCGGAAAATCTGAGAAGTGAAAAAAAAAAACAATTTTAAAGACCGGCCAACATCAATTATCAGTAACTGCAAAACCGCTCAACTCGGGCGAACAAAAAAGATTCAGGGAATTTTTACTAACCCTCCGTCTCCATCAGTCCGTAACTCCTCCAGCCTCACGTCGGTTGTGATGGGTTGAGCGGGTGCAGCTGCGTGTCCCGGCTGGCTGTTTGCCTGTGGGTCACTCGGCCTGGTGTAGTGTGGGGCCTCTGCGTCTCTCTGGATGATGTGTGTGTGACCGGGTCTGTCAGGGGACCCCAACGCTGAACAGCCCTCCTTGGGACCGTCCCTGGGCCGGGCCTCCTTGTCCCCACTCTGCCCGCTGTTGCTCTCCTCTCGAGTCGACTCCACGAGGCCGTCCAGGCTAGACCGGGAGTGCAGGTACAAGCTGTAATCCTCTGGCACCAGGGCCGGTCCGTACAGATCCAAAGGGAGGTACCTGGGTCCTGTGACTGGCATGGAGAGCTCGTGGGGTCTGTACAGGGTGAAATGCAGAGGGGGGCCCGAGTGAAGAGGGTGGCAGTATCTGTACGGGTACGAAGGAAAGAGGGAAGTGTGGGGGGGGGCTATGGGCTGCGGCACCACGGGCCTCTGGGGATGCATGAACTCCGGCCGGAAGGGAGGCGAGTTTGTCTCGTTGGCGCGGTGCACCGTTGGTAGGTAGTACGGCGGATACAGGGGCCCGTCGGGCAGGAGGTACGGGGTGTACTCCGGAACCATGGGAGCGGGGAATGGTTTTAAGGAAACCCACGGGAAGCCGTGGTGGTTGAAAGCGGGAACCGGAGGCCGCGCATCCCCCGGCTGCTGCGCAGGTGACTTGAAGGCTTCCGCCCCGTCACCTTTGGGCGTGACGGGGGAAAAGGCGGACAGGCGCAGCGCGGCCTTTGCCTCGTCGGCGTTCTCCCCCTCTGTTGCCGTGTTTGAGTTTGTCTCGCTGCGGCCGTCCTCATCGAGCGGACTGTCGCACCCGACGTCGGCCTCTTCGGGGTCCTCCCTGCGCTCGGCCGCGTCGCTCTCCGGGCCCCCTTGTTTCTCAGCCGGGGGGCTCGGAAAGTCGGGGACTTCCTGCGCCGCAGGCTTGACCTGTCGGGCATTTTTCTGTGACATCAGGGAGATGGAGTTCTTACACAGGTTGTATTTCATGTGGTTGAAGAGATGGGACTTTTCGTTGCAGGTGAAGGGACACTGGAAACATTGGTACTTGAACGGCTTGCCGGGCGGTCGAGGGATGTAGTGGGGCCTTTTTGGCTTGCGTTCCTGAGCGGTTTCCATCTCGATTCCAAAGGATGTTTTCTGAAATAGAAAGGAATCACATTGCAGTTGAACAAATCTCAGTTGTTGTTGTTTTTTTTCACGCTCCTTCTTTCCCCGGAAGTTAGCGGGGAATGTAACACGTTCAGCCTAAACAGAAAAGAAACCAGGTTTTCACTGAGCCGAGGAGGCTTGCAGAGTTGTCCGACTGGTTCAGGAGGAGAGCGGCTCTCGTCGGCGACGCGTTTTCTCTCTCTTTCTCGCGGCTCGCGCAGAAAAATCTCTCTGTGCACAAAACACTGCACCCTCAGGCTAATGTATTTCTGTTACTGCACACTGGACTGAACACAGCAACTGTTAAATAGGGAAAAACGACATATGCAAAAAGTGTACTTTTCCCCCGCCCTCCCTCATGTTTGCATTGGTGCAGTCCTGCCCGTGTCGTTACGGGTGATTGGCAGCAGGCTACTAACGCCTCTATCCGCTCTGATATCGCTCGACTCATTTGTCCTACGAAGTGAGAGCGCTCAGTAGACAGGTGTTGGCCGCGCTGCACACTTGCTAACGCACTCTCTGCAGACCCGGAGGGCGTGCAGAGACATGCTCTCTCTATCAACCTTACTAAACTCTGTGCTGTCGGCGTGGGAACCAGGAGCCACCTGCTTCCCATGACTACACCTGCGGGATGCATTCAGCTCCCAATGCTCCCATGCGATGAGCTCACCAGCAAAATGATAAGAAATGATTCTTCCTGATAATTGCAGTTCGTACCAGTTGTACCGGTTAGCAAGAGTGGCAATCTTGCAATCTTGAGTGCCACTTTCATAGTGAACTGTGAATCAGGAGGCATCTAGAACGCCTCAGTTTCACCCTATTTGAAATGAAACATCACCTTAAGCTGTGAGTTAAGTGTGGCTGAGTGCCGCATGGAGGAACCTGCTTGTCCGTGTGCTGTCGCAAGAAGTTGTCACTCAAGTTTCTGCCCAGTTGTAGCATGCAAGGCCACTCCTTTCTTCAGAACTGAAATTAATTTGAAAATCCCTTTTTTTTTTAATAATGTTTCCTTCTCACTTAACACAATACAGTCACAGCATTCAGTTTTTCATTTTGTCAACTTAACTATAATCTATATATATTTTTTAACTTAATTGTTTGTTCAATCGTCAGATCAGTCTTGTTTTTATGTTTCAAATGTTTTGATGAGATATGATAGATGACAAGTATCTGTGTATATTGACTACTTCAAGCATAAATTCAGATCCACAGACAACAAGTGGATACGCAGCTTATACCAACTCAACAAACGGGTTAAAGGTGCCTTTTTAATAAAGACGTCTTCTTCAGTCTCACCGAGCGGCTTCGACGCAGCGCTGTAAGTGAGTAACTGTACCTTAATGGTAAAAATAAGGAAATTACCTGCTTCGCAACCGTGTCCTCGGCCTGTAGAGAGCCGCTCCGCCGCCCTCAGCCAGCACTCGTCGGGACCTTCGCTCCAACTGGGTTCACAGTGTGTTTGTGAATGCGTGTGGGATGGTGTGGTGAGTTGCTCTCTGTTGAGATGTCGTCTAACTGGTGGGCGGGGCTTCAGCCCAAACTGCAGGGCCCTCAGGCAACGCTGATGCACCTGATATTAGTCGAGCCTCAAGCAACGATTTACATGACGGGGTTGTTGTGTGGGGGCTCTTGTTCCTGCTTTCACTTCCCTGCTCCGTCTCGCATTCACTACAAACCACTTGTTGACTTCACTCAACGCGCCACTGTTGCACCACAGTGAAGTCCTGTGGCAGGCCGGCCAGATGGACATGAGATCACACACACACACACACACACACAGGTCAAATTGGTGCTAATGTTGTTTATTGTTTTAGAGATAACTAATGTAGTTATCTATACAACCCAACTCAAACTTTCACTTAATGTGCTAACTTTATTACTAACTGCTTGACCCCCAAATCATATCGGCGTTTCTTTTCCTGAAACGGGACACGATTTGACTACGTTGACTCGAGCAGCAACCACTCAAAAAAGAGAGGGAACGTAGAAGCAGATGCAGAAGGCGTCACTACTACAAAATAAATAGTACGCGCACACACTCAGCCTTAATTCAGCCAGTGGCGGCTGGTTGTAGTCCAAGGATTTCCACCGGGTCTGATGCTCACCACACTGCGCTCAGCACAGAGATTGTAGAGATGCTTTATTGACTTGTCCGTGTTTTTTCTTTCTGGTTCTCAAGATAAAAACAGTCATCCACTTCCATTTCTCGACCTGCAGTTGTGCCGCTGATCGTCAAGTCGCTGAGCTACGACGAGAAGAGGGGAGCGTGCAGCGTCGGATCCAACGTGCGCGACGCCGCCTGCTACGTGTGCTGGTCTTTCGCCAGGGCCTACGAACCCAAAGAGCTCGAGCCTTTTGTCACTCAGATTGCCAGGTAACCTTAATGGGCTTGTGATACTTCAAGGATTTGAAAGCCACGGTCCTCTCCCAAAAAGACGCTTTCCGATATGCTTCTGTTTTCATTTATTTATCGCTGCTATTTGTTGATAATACATACAACTCAAAATCCTCTCCCTCAGAATTTACGCTCAACAAGGTAATCCTTTATTGTTCCTGACAAAAAAGAAAACATTAATATATTCATAATAAGCCCTAAATCAGCCAATAATATCTCCCCACCACCAGTATATACATACTCTAAATATGTTGCTCTGCTGAAAGAAGAAGAGTAGCAGCTGCAGTCAAAGGTTGAAAGCAGGATGAACTGTTTTGATAATCGAGGTTTATTACTCATCCACTGCCTCAAATCAGTCTTGCATGTTCCCACATAACCAACTAATGCGTGGTCTTATTTTGGGCCTTTTTGTTATGAAGCAGTAGGCAGTAGGCCTTAAACACAATATTTTTAGTATTTAAAAATACATACAATAAGTAACATTGCAGGCTTTCTGTATTTGTTTAAGACATTGTTTACTTTTAAATCCATTTTCACAAAAACCTCCGGTTGAAAAGGCAAAGACCTGCTTGCCTGGTGCTCGTCGTATTTGGTAGGGAAGGCAGGTAACTTATGTGCATCATGTACGAGGGTTCAAATCGTCTCTCTGCTTCAGTCACAGCGCTGAAGCATTAAGCGGCAGTTGGGGCTTGTTCTATTCCTGTTTGCTCACATGCTAAAATGTAAAACCATTAGCTGGTTATTCATGTACGTAACTAGATCATCGTTAAGACAAGTGACCAGGTTGCTTATTCAAACATGGGACCATTTTTTTTTTTTTAAATAACCATGACATTATCGTAATGTATGATCTACTTCCAGAGTGTAACTAATAATGTTTCCCAATAAAGAGTTTTGTCTGCCGCGTGACCAGCTTTAGGGACCCCAAAAGGGGGCGTTTTTTGGGTAAAACGTGCATCTATCCGAGAAGCAGCGTGAAGCGAAAGGAGGTGCTTTATCCTCCGCTGACGTCTTTGTCAACGGTAACGGTCTGCCTCCTCCCCAGTCTCGTCCCTCTCTCTCTCTCTCGCCGTGCATGTATGAACCTGCGTCCTCCTGACTGTGCAGACCAGCTCTGCAGTGTCGGGTTGGAACCCCTGCGACTTCTATTACCACCGGCAGTCGCGACAACACCCTCTCTTCCCTGAGCCTACAGGACTGCCAGGTTTCGCCTGTTGCTGTAGGTTTCGGTCGCCGTTTGGCAGCAGGGCTCAGACAAGCTGGTTCCTGCTCTATTCATCACAACTAAATGACACACAGAAAACGTACTTACAAAATGTGTGACTTTGTGTGACTAAGTGTCTTAGAGACACAAGCATACACAGAGGTATAGCGCTGTCCACTTATCCACTGTTGCAGCCACAAGACATAATTCAAAATGTTGCGCAGGGTATTATCCAGAGTGCAATCAGGGCTGTTTTTGTTTTCAAGCCCTTGGGGCCGGGGGGCAGTTAGTGGAGCTCCGGGCCTGAGTCTTGCCGTTAGGAGACGGGGGAGGAAACAAGGCCCAGTCGGGCTCAGCCAATCCCTCCGCAATAACTGCCGGTCACACGCCCACCCGGAGTAGAGAGGAGCGATATCGGGATTAGAGACATAGTCAGAAACACATTGCTGGCAACTCATGCCCATTAGTTAGTTAGTACCTCCGTTAAATATATATCTGTATAAAGTATCTCCAATTTTTTTTAACCTGAGGCGAGGGTACCTAACCGACACAAGAAAGTTGTATGAGTTCCAGAATAACGAGAACAAATATATTAAAATGGTTGAAAAAAAACAATGCCCATAAAAGCCTTTTCTGTTGCCTACCCTTTAAAGTTGAATTATTTAACCATTATGTTACTGGGAACACTCCATAACTACTTTGTAGCATTCAGCGGGCCAATTCCTATGTACACTTCGTTACTCGGATCATTCACACTCGGGCCGTGTCCCACTTTGTTCTTCTCCTGCAGTTCTCTGGTGATCACAGCCGTGTTCGACCGAAACGTCAACTGCCGCAGAGCGGCCTCCGTAAGCTCCCCGGCCGACGTCCTTAATCAAAGGCTTTCAGTTACATCGACAGACGTTGATCTTTATGTCTCGCTTTGTTTCAGGCTGCCTTCCAGGAGAATGTCGGCAGACAGGTTCGTGACTGAATTAGTCAGATCTGATGTTTCTTTGCTGGATATCACTCAGGTCCTGCTCAAACTTGCCTCGTTAAGCGACATTCAATTTTGCAACAGTCTACTGAGTTGGACCAAATCCATCATGTCCCGTCCCCGGTTACTCAGCCGTCTGCTGCTGTCTGTCTTTCCTGTGTTTGTCAACAGGGGACGTTCCCTCACGGTATCGACATCTTGACAGCGGCGGACTACTACGCTGTAGGGAATCTCAACCACTGCTATCTGAGCACCAGGTGAGGAGCCGCGTGTTCTGCACTTCGGCCCGAGCTTGACTCGACTAGCGTGTGACTAAGAGAACATGGCTACTCGGGCAAATGATGCAAGAGGCAAAGCAATGAAGTGTGTGGCAACAGGTCAGGTCCCGTCCTTCCTCGTTGGCGAAGCAGGTGACGAATAGAAACCTGGCCGACTTCATGGCTGAAATCTGTCGACAAAAATGTTTTTTCGCTTTTTTCCTGTCCCGTTGGTCAAAGAGGAAAATGTGTGGCGACATTGCACAACTTGTTGGTTTGTAAATGACCCAACTGCACCTTTTAGTTCAACCAAGTCAATGTGGCTCAAAAGCAGATTTACCAACATGTGCAGCTTCCCAAATCAAAGACGTTGCAAATACTTCTCTGCATATACGTTTCTGGAGAATATGTTGTTTCTATTCAAACGGTTAACCATCTTTTTTTCACTCTAAATCTGGCATTTATTTAAGATATGAAATTCTCGCAACAAAATCTACGTAGAGGAGCGCCAAATCCCTTTTCAGGAATTTCATTAGAAGTGCGTCGCCAGCAGTAGCACTAACATTTAGCCAATTACCGACAATAGAACTGAAGAGAACAAAGAAAAAACGACGAGAGGTGGATTTTAAAGGTTTACTATGTCTGAAGCTGGTTTTTTTTTTGGAGACGCTTGCAGATGCGCATTCACAGCTGTCTTTCTTTGTTTTCAAAGTGTCTACATAGCAAGTTTCCCGGAGTACACCAAGGCCATGATAGATCATTTAATAGAAAAGAAGATCAACCACTGGGATGGGTATGTACTTGTATCTATTTCTAATGGATTTTGTTTTATTTGGGATTTTCTTCTCCTTAATGAGCGGCAGAGGATGCAGAGGCTCCATGGGTGATGTGCACTTTAACTTAAAGTGGTAGAAGTATTTGCCTGGCTTCATAAATATCACCAAGTTGGTCTGACCTCATTGCTGCATTCCTCATATGTGCTTTCCAGAGTCATCCGAGAGCTCTCCACTAAAGCGCTCCACAACCTGACTCCTCAAGCACCCGATTACATGGCAACAACAGGTAAACAATGTCACCTCACCTGTTCCACGGGCTAAAGACAATTGCTAATGTGAAATGTCTTTTGGAGATTTGTCTGACATATATAATACTTGGTGACTTGTTTTGTGTCAGTTTTGCCCCAGCTGTTGCCCCCAGCAGTGGGTTTTGACCTGCATGGTCGCCATGGAGCCATCCTAGCGTGTGCAGAGATCACACACGCTCTGTACAAACTGGGCCTTCAGACCAACAGGTAGACTTTATTAGCCAGTCGAGGGAATACGTTGTTCTAGTCCGTACACGTTGTTAAAATGTTTAACTTACATTTAAAAAAAAAAAAGTATTGTTGCCTTGTCTTTCTATGAATTGTTGCTTTGAGTCGCAGTTGTTGTCTCCCTATGTTTGTTATACAGGACTGTGGTGGACATCATTTCTTCAGAATGTGTGGACGCATTGAAGAACATTCATCAGACGGTAAGTTTATCGAAACAAGCGAACAAAAGCTGTCGTTTCAAGTTGAATAAACTGATTTGTTGCTGATGTTCATTTGTTGGCTTACTTTCAGCTTAATGACAAAAAACAGTACAGGTAGGTGGACAGGTTTTATACATTTATCACCA